AGATATCAACACAGCGCAGTTTTCCATCGACCCGATAGTCCTATGTTATTGTTTACCATAGCTATCAGTATTATACAGTGGCAGTTGCCGCTACAAGTGTGAGTGTCATAAGGGTACCGTACTAGCAGCGGGGAAAGCCAAAGGGCTCAGGGCCGCGTGAAGAAGACATGGCCAGGGTGCGGAAACGGTATAAAACACCGACAACCACTTCCCGAGGTAGTACTGAACGGTACGATGCTAGAATCTGAAGACGACGGCGCTGAGTGTAGTTACGGGGTTTGACTGGTGTACCAAGCACTTTTAAGCTGCAGACAACTTACCGAGACGACGTCCAAGCTTGCCCATGATGCTTATCGTAGCCAGCAAGCTCTTGCGTCCTTGAACACCCGGTAAATCTCTTCTGTCTCTACTATGTTCTCTACGCTAAAGTCAAACTACGCCAAGGAGGTAGCGAGCGCAGTGGTACCTAACACGGTCGTGTATGGTAGGATTTCGCTCGCAGGAATGGCAGAGGTCGTACAAGACATGGGCAGGTTGGTGAGGTCGAGCTGCTCCCGCTCGGTAGCAACGAGACTCAAGAAGGCAAAGATGAGGGCGGACTTGGTGGTTGAGCCGTCTTCGTTGACGTCTAGGATCGAGAGGAATGTGAAGAGCGACTCGGTGTCGAGCATGGTGCGGCCGAGGTCAGCTGTTCAGTCCGGGCATGGTGTGAGCACAGACGGCTCAGAGGCCACGGTGGAAGTGTTGTCTGTGGAGAAATTTTTGCGGAAGATTGTTCAGAGCGACCATCTTGGGGTGATGAAACTTCTGACGGCTCAGCAAGTGGCATTGTGGCAAGACATATAAACTGATCGAAGTTCGACGAGGTAATGTTCGTCATCTTGAAGCGGAGAGCAACGAACGACGGGTCAGAACAAGCCAGTCCCGACCACCCGCAGCCTTCATAGGCATGGTGCTGCTCGCTGGTAGCGTGGGCGCTGGAGGCAGAGTCAGAGTCATCCACTTCTGCCCATCACCATACTCAACCGAGGAAGCAGTGAGCTCGCCCCACTTCAAGTACCTGACCTCATCATCGGGGGGTGTTGCAGGGAACTGGCTACCGAGCAGCTCGCGTGGAGTGTGAGCGACCGACTCCGCACACTCGCTGAACGACACGTCTGCATTGCTGCTGGAACCTTCAGACAGAAGAGACACAGTCTCATCGCTGTAATCAGACAAAGCGAGCAGATGCTTATCAGGAGAGGCGTTTTACTCATCGTCAGAGTCCTGCTCATCGGCCAGATTCACGTTGTAGTAGCCACCAGCAAGGTACTCGAAGTCGTTCTAGGGCGCCACCTCAACTTGACCCATTTTTCCATAGGTGATGGCCTTGCCAACCTCAGCAGTCTCCGAAGGTGCGACGTCAAGATGAACGATTTCGTCCTCATCGGTCTGTAGATCAATCGCAAGGTCCTCAGGGGACAAATCAAGGCCGTCCAGGTTCGCAACAGCTGCAGCATAGTCACACTGCGCATCAGTGTTGTAGACTACAACAGCGGTTGCACGACAAAGGCGAAAAGCTTTGAAGTGAGAGTGTCCGTCGCTCGATCAAGAGCAGCTGCGTAGATGTTGGGGTAGGACGTTGCAAGAAACTCCACATCATCGACAGTGTTGATAGAAGAAGATAGTGACTCGGAGGAATGGCTGTTATGTGCTTCCTCCGTATCCTCCAAATCAGCGACAGAGGTCTCGTTCATCGATAAGTTGGAGACGGCGCCGGTCTGTGAATTAAAATTCCCAGCTGAAGTCTGTGAGGTGACCGACAAGTCCTTGGCGTTCACTGGTTCGACAAACTTCACCGCATACGCTGGGAGCTCGGACAACTTTGGTGTCTCCAAAACAGACGTGGAGCTGGTTGCGAACGAGAAGACAGGGTCGAAGGCCTTGATAGATGCTAATGCAGGGGTCGATGAGGTATTGGTTAGCGAGGGGCATTCTGGATAACCCATGTGCCTTAAGCTCCAGGGCAGATGTTGGCGAAGTCTGTGGTGTCTCAAACGTAAAGTTCCCATTGAACCCGTCCAAAGTCTGAAGTGACGACTCAGACCCCGTAGGTGACCATGGAGAAGCCAGCTCGGGCAGCTTCAAATATTCTGGTGGGAACTCGTGACCATGTGGTAAGCAGTCGACCCCAACGTCTCAACAGTCTCATCTTGAATTGGTACCACAGGCGTGGATGGGATTTTGGGACATCGGCCGATGTAGGCTTGTTTTCAACTTTAAGCGGCGCGGCTAGAAGGAGCGCCTTCTTGCACGCAAGCGCCTTTTTGACGTTGCGAGCTTCAGTGATGATTATTGAAAGTCAAGTTGGGTGTATGTATTCTTGTGGTTATCAGACGTCGAGGGACGCAGCTAAGTAGGTAAACAGACTAGCCCAATTGGGTAATAGGCACCCGTGGAAACCACCATCCAACAATGATGCCGTTGTCGAATTTCGTACCAGGAAGCTTGCAGATGTTTGGGTTCGTCTCTGCAATTGGAGTAAGGATAAGCTACAACCAATTGATCACAATGTACATACCCCGTAGAGTGTTGGTGACGGCAACCTTGCGTAATGGCAACTTGCGCACTGGGGTAGCAAACTTGGAGGCGATTCCAGGCGCTGACGGAGACTTGGCAGTGGCGAGGCGGTCAGCGAAGACTGAGCGTCGTGGGCTGTTTTGGACTTACATTGCGTGACCTTCATCTCAGCTTCTTGCTTCGACTTCTTGTTCTGCGCCTTGCGGATCTGGTCGACCCTAAGGATGGCCTGCTGGCGGAGGTACTTTTTGTGGGGCGTCCGCAGAGTTCAGTGCTGATTGTATCAGAATTGCGCCATGCCCCGTGCATGGCATCGCATAAGTGAAGTGCCACAGTACGTGATAGTGGTGTAGGGATATAGGTCGCCTTCACCCGAAACACGCTGATGCCAAAGATGATCACCATGCCGTTCACAGATGTAGGGAGACTCAAAAATGGCATAAGAGATTATGCAAGGTCGGGTGAATGAGAAAGAAAATGTCTAGGAACTACTTTTGAAATAACCTTCAGGCTGCCGAAAAGGTCAACTCGATTTCGCATTGAGCGCTTGTTGAACACACGGCACACGCATACAGCTTGCGAAGAGCTAACACTTCAAGGATACGAATATATCCTCTAATGACTTTGATCCGCCGATGCAGCCCGTCATACAAGAACTTCTGTGTCATCGGAGATGAGCTCTGGTTGCAAGTGAAGGAAATAGGAGATGTTTAAAACGCTGGATCTGGGAACTTGGCCCACCAGTCCACGAAGATTGTTATTCCGGCATGCAACAAGGCTTTGCGCAGACTGAGATGGATGGAAAAGTTCGAAGCTGGGAGCACAACCTGGAATCATCGGTTGCGATAGGCATCTAGCGCTCTCAGTCTCTCAAAGGGTCGCTGAATGGATGGCGCATCTGAGTTCGTGACCTAGTCGCGGGATCGCGAGATGTACCATCTGTAGGCGTTTGCGTAGCCCCTGCTGCTACACGGTTGAAGTGGTTGACTAGTACAACTACTGAAGCCTGCGGTTCTGTTGCGTCGAGGTCTTCGCGGACAGCCCATGCAGGGATCGGAATTTGACGGATGGGGACTCTGCGTGCCGTTAACCAGGGCATAGAAGCTTGGGAATTAAATCTACGCCTGGAAGCCGAGGGTGTCGTTGGCGCATGCGATGTCAGTCCAGTCCAGTCTTGCAGGTCTGACGGAGAGGAGGCCATTGCGGCGACTGCATTCAGTCCTCTAGTCGTTGGTCTGTCGGAGCTTTCGAATGGAGGATGCGGATACCACAATTCCTCGCGACAGTAAGGGCAGGTGGTCTTGCCTCTCAAAGACCATTTTCTCAGACATGCTCGGCAGAAGTGTCGATGGCCGCACGACAGACGTATGCGAGACCTGTTCAGACCCCGGGTGAAGACGCGGAAACAGATCGCACACTCGTCCGAGAGATTGGGATTTGAGCTGTTGAGGTAGGGAGCGTCGTGGATTAGGGTCTCAAGCCATTCTGAACGCGATGGCAGACTGTTTGATCTTATTACCCTTCGCTGTGCCCCGATGAGCCAGCTCATGAACGATAGCTGAGGCATTTGGCCAGATCAACGCTCCTGGAGTAGTTGGAGGATGTACCTGATGCAAAGGCGCGCGGTATGAGTAAGTAGAAAGGACTTGTCGACGGCAAGGAAAGTGGCGTGTGCATGACAATAATACCGAGCCTCCCGCCTAGAGTTTTTGTGTGTTGAGCGGTGTCATTCCCTGGGCCGCATCGCGAGTGAGCCATGGTCGATGTACAGCCAGTGGACCCTTATGGAACAGGTAAAAACAAGCCCAACAAAACCTGAATGACTTCTGAGGGAATCCAACAACGACTTGCTCTGTAGTGTACACTCAGAGCATACTTTACCGTCATAATTGCGTGCCTCACCTCTTACTTCGTGTCAAGAGACACTGCAATACAAAATAGCATCGTGTAGCGGACTGTATCGTCGCTCCGGGAGCTCGCGAACCGTGAGCGACTGCCATTGATAGAATCGTTTGCACAATATTGTTATCAGAATTCTGCGACTTAAGGAGTTGTAGGATGCGGACGACAGATGAGCTGAGGTTTGTGGAAAGTGTGTTGATGGGAAGATGGAGTCGTGTCGTGCCTTCTTTGTCGCCCGTAGGTGCGTGTAGCTCATCACTCAAAACCATGATTAAAGAATTCGATAACGTTCATTCGATTTGAGCGCAACTTGCGCTTTGAGATATCATACAATATAGTCTGTTGATTCAAGATGCAAACCATATCGCTATGCCGGTCGAGGTCAGTCAAAGTCACCGCCATTCAGCGCCTGTACGCCCCTAATTGCTTTACAAACATCGACTAGACACTCATCAGCACATGAACCGTTGTAAACATACACAAACTCAACTCACAGTACTACAAGTATGTCCTGCCGCCGGGTGCCGCTTCCCTCATTTCTCGCAGTTGCCTGCCGTGTTCTCGAATCACTGTCGAGCTGGCCTTCTCGACTTCACCTCTGCGCAAAGCATACGAGTACCATGTCTTGAAGCAGTCTTTTTGAGCTGATGTGGGATACCGTACGCCCTTTGCGCGATGTGCTTGAAGCACCATCGACTCGAGTGATCTTGTGGCAGAAGGCATCGTGTGAGGCAAGCGGTTGTGGATGGTGAGTCCTTTTCGAACTTGTGCAAGAGACTTGAAAGGTCTCGAAAGTCGATACAGTTGCCGGCTGTGACGGCAGGTTTGTATGACTTGATCCAGATAGTAGTCGCGGTGTATAGTCAATCACATGCTCAGTGGTCGACGTGATAATCTTGAACCCTGAGTTGAGCTTCTAGCTTGGAAAGATTGGGAATATGGTAATTTGAAAAGAAGGGGTAGAGAAGGCTTCTTAAGCTGAAGCGCACCGCTGGCGTTCTTTCCCTCTTCTCGGGTCTCCAAGGCGTCTCCGCATCTGTATCACAACTCCCTGCAGACTTCACCAACACAACTGGATGCAACGACCAGCCACCATGTCGTCTGGTGTCCGCTCATCTTTCGGTCTGTCTCTTGCCTATCTCCTACTGGCCGGATGCTGCGACTGCCTTCTCCCGAGATCTGTCTTATCGCTCCCGCGGCTGCGCTCTCACATCATCGCGTCGCGGCTCCGCGCAGCAGATTGTGTGAATTACTTGCCGCGGGAAGCTGCCGCGGGAGCTGATGTATGAACCCGAACCATACAATTCGCTTGCGCTTACAGCAGGTACTCGCTGATTGGCTGCTTGGTATATCCCCTCAATCACGGCTGCAGTTGTGTATGGACCCGCAAATAGGGATGTGGAGTGTTGTATGCGGTCATGCGCACCTCGATAACGGCGATCGCGTTTAGCCGGGTAAGTCAACCTCTTGTGATCTTACGATAGCAGGCGGTTTCAGCCCTGAGCCTGGCATCACGATCAAAGCTAGATTCGCAGGAGTTCGAGGAGCACTCGGTTTGGTGATGAGCTTCCATTGTACGAGTGGACTCGATACTACGTATGCATTCTGGCGTCCTCTTTGTTGATTTTTTGTTTCTGTAATTATAACGTAGATCTCGACGACAACTTCGACGGTGCCATCTTTCAATAGTTCTCTAAAGCCCTTATCTATCTCGCATCTAACATACTCACTCGACAACATATCGAGCCTAGGTGACTTGCCACTCATCACACCACATGTTTGCATCCGTCATCGGATACACACCGCCCTTCAAGATGTACGTCTCGACCTCTCTCTACACAACGAACGGCACTTCGATCTCGAAACACTTCGAACAAGGCAGATCGTGGTGATCGTGGGGTCTCTGCGCGCTCAACTTATGCTTAGCCGCTATATGCAGGTAATCGTCTTCACCTAGATCCAGGATCATACTCAGTCGTTTCGAGTTTGTTGAAAGAACGTGCAGACGCTGCGACAACTTTGTTTGCCATTGTGCTGCAAAGACGGTCTTGGAACCGTCCGCAATGGTCCGAATGTTGATGCGTCGGTATGGTAACCCGTACGTCTTCGAAGACGAGTGTTTTAACCTGTTTAGAACTGCTCGCCAACACTGTTAGGCACCTTATTCAAGGCTACGAGCGCAAGCCGGATCAGGCTCGAAGGATGAAACGGGACTACCGCTCTGCGATACAGACTTGCTTGTGAGTTCTCGCAGTGGCCGACTTTGCGACATGTAAGTCGCAAGGCTCCAATGTCTTTGAGATCAGCGGTGCTCTCCAGGATAATAGTGATGACTTCTGCCGGGAGTCGAAAAGATGGCGGAGCGTCGTTAACTGAGTCGGCAGAAGCAAAGGTTTTCTCGTCGGAGGCCTTCTTTGTGTTAGTTGCACGTTAGGGCCTCAGGATCGAGTTCATACTTATAGCCTTGTCCATAGTTGACGCGAATGGCAGAGCTTTCTTGCCAATCACACAGGAGTTTGATGGCTTATTTATCTTTTACTCTAGGCTTCCAGGCGTAAAGCTTCAATTACCCGCTGCGTGCGTTGTTGTAAGTTGTTGTGTGAACAAGGCCTTTGTTCGTGAATGCAACGGAGCTGCAGGAAGCGTGCCAAATTTTGGACTTGTAAGCTCCTGCCTGTGTAGATTCTTGGTTGGGGGTTTTCTTTTGGACTATCATTATCGTTTTTGTAGCTTGACCACCCTTAGTAAGATTCGTGTTGCCAAAGGATAGACCCAATTTGGTGGTAGTCTCGTACCATGGTCCCCCACACCACATCCCAGAATGTGAACATCGGAAACATTTCGCTGTGAGTCTCATAACGTAGAGTTCGGGCAGGCCAAAGAGATCATATAAAGGTCAAAACAATGCAGAGAAAAAGATGCCCGCACCGGAGCGAAAACGACGGGGGCCAGCCTTCTAGGATTAATAGAGGATTAAACCCAATCAGAAGCCTGCTACGTCATTTCGAAAACGGTTAGAGGATTTTGCAGACTGGGAAAATTACGAATTAAGGATGGCGTGGCTGGAAGCTGGAAACAATGGTGATCAGAGCCCCGCTAGCTTACCCCGGCCTAGCGCAATTGTGCAGGGAAGCGACTTTCAGGGTCTCCCGAAATCTTATCTCTTCGAGTACAAGCATTTCGATCCTTCTGTTCTTGGCTTTTGCATCTTCTGCTTCTCGAAAACTTCAACTTTCTTTGCGTTCGAATACACTCGTCCCTGAGGCTCTTTCTGGTGCTACAGCTACTGCTCAGCCTAGACTCCATTGGCCCGAGAGGCACGTCAGTCTTCAGGATGTGGGCCGAGCGGGGTACACTTTCGGGGGCAACTCCTGGACCTTCGAGCAAGGCTCATCAACATCACAGCACCTTGAAACTTCGCACCTATCTCTCTTTTCGAACCACAAATTCCGACTCTTCACAATAGCTCAGAACTTTCGAAAAACACAATCATAATGGTCGCCTCTTTCCGTGATCTCCTCGGCATTCGCCCTGGTACAGCCTCCACCTCAGACTCTGCTCTAATCATCATCGATGCTCAGAATGAGTACGCAAAGGGACTGCTGAAGGTCACCAACGCTGAGTCGAGTGGGAAAGCTATCGCCAGCCTGCTTGCGAAGTACCGTGCTGCGAACGGCAAGATCATTCACATCATGCACCAGGCCCCTGAGGGTGCACCAATTTTTACCCCAGGTACTGAGCTGGCAGACGAGTTCAGCGATGTCGCTGCCAAAGTGGGATCCCATACACTTCGTTGTTCGTAAAAAGACTGATCGAAGTGTAGAACGGCGAGGAGACGATCTGGAAGCAGTTCCCTGGCTCTTTCGAGCAGACGTCGCTGCACGACACCCTTCAGTCGTGGGGTGTCAAGAAGGTCGCTCTGACCGGCTACATGGCCCATGTCTGCGTTTCAACCACTGCACGTGAGGCCATGCAGAAGGCTTATGAGGTTATTCTTGTCGAAGATGCCATTGGGGACCGCGACATCCCGGGGGTGAAGGGTGAGGAGCTTACGAGGGTTGCTCTGGCCGAACTGGCAGATGTCTTCGGCACCATCGTCCAGAGCTCGGACATAAGGTGAAGCAACTTACGGCAGGATATTTCCGCGCCGATGTTGGTATAATGCGAGATAGTAATTTTACCTCATATGGTGCTTTGACAATGGCCTCATTTACTGCTGAATAGATATCTGTAAAACGAGGCTGGCGGTCTGGAAGGGAGACCCATCTTTGATGACAAAGTCATGCACAGAATACTGGACTGGCCCCTAAGGCCACTGCGACGCGAGAGATTGCATGACCGCACAGAGCGCACGTGATGGATGTGATGCGGTGTGGTCGTGGTCGATGAAGGTTGGTGGACCCTTGGAACTGAAGGTGTGGATTTGAACGATCGGCGAAGCCTCGGTTGAATCACTAGTGCGAGACTGCCAGCACACCAGCGGACGCACCCCAACGTCCTCACTCCTCTGTCTCATCTCCAACATCACATGGCTATCGTCAGGATCGTCCACCAACCAGGAATGGCCGAAGACATGAAGCTTTGTAATCACTTCTTGACAATGCAAACCTAGTTCACTCTTACCGAGGGCTCTGCTTTCCCACTCGTATCCACGTATCAGGCGCACCGCGGAGTTGCCTTACTCGCACGCTCAATGGGGACTGACATGGCTACTTCAGAGACCCTAGGATGAGGCTGAAGTCAGCCTCGCATTCGTGTGCAGTTCTCCGTGCCATCACAAGTTGTGAATCTGGTATTTGCTGACAGGTTTCCGCGGCTTTGTCTCAGCATGAGCACATCAACGTCATAATCTGAACGCGATGGTCTCGCCTTCTCAGCGTTTGTGGCAGTATCGTTGCAGTGGCTGTGACAACAAATCGACAGCACCACAAACGCAAGGCGATGGTGCACATGAGCCTCGTCTGCCACGATGCACAGCGCAGAAAGCAATGTCGATATGAAAGTCACAATGTGCACGTCCATGGAGGTCGACAACAATCCCCCAACAAACTCACAACATTCGCGAGTGAACACCCGTGTTGCTCCAGCTCCTTTGTCACTTCACATTCCCGCAAACATTCACCAGCTGTCTTTCACACACCGCGGCCATGCATCCTGTACGAAGGCCTTGCCAGCCTCTTATCGCGCATGCTGCGTCGCAACGCACACCCACATCCACACCCATGGAAGCCTTCATCAAGACGCAGCTTCGTCCAGTTGACCAATGCGTGGTATGCACCGAGCCATTCAGTGCGACTCATCAACCAGTCGCTCTAGACTGCAAGCACATCTTCGGCCACAAATGCATATCAAGATGGGTTCAAGACGGCCGAGGTAACAACGCAAGCTGTCCGGTCTGTAGACATGTTCTGGTAGCGAGGAAGAACCCACAACCGGCTTTCGATGCACCGTCAATATGGAAGAGACTGTGCGAACTGCCTCTAGAGCGCCTGCATGCTTTCATGGAGAAGCTTTGGATCGGCATACGAGACCTCTGGAAGCGAAAGCCCGACAGCAAGTTTACGATCAGCGAACTTCTGGAGAAAGCCATCTTCCCTGCCCTCATCGAGACTGGGGCACAAGCTTGGAGTGGGTCACACGACGCGTTCACCGACGCATACAACCTCATCGCGGCCTCATGGGACTCATTGGGTCGCCCAGATCGGGCAGAAGGTCTGGCGGTCCCACTTGTTCGCCTCGCTCGTTTGGTATCTAGCACAGCAACCACGTTGCCATTGTACCTTACGGATCTGTCACGAACGACACGACTGATCTGGAAGGCGAACGCCTGCCTTGGCCTTACGGAAGAGAACATCAGCTGGGAATCTATCATGGATGTCTCGAAACTGGAGTCAGATCGACACTTTCCGTTGCTACATCTCTATACTGTGCTCATATCGCAGAGCATTGCGCACAAGTCTGGACCACAACAACCACTACCGACAAGACGCTACGAGATTATGAATCTTGTGGTCGAGAGGTGCTGCACGAAAATCGGCAGGTCTAGTTACACGGGTAAACCTTCAAACGACTTCAAGGACACCCTCGTTTTCGTGTTCCAGGAGCTCTGGAGGTATCAGCACGAACAGGCGCGGCTTAGCTTGAGGGGTCATGCAGGCGAGGAGACGATTGTTAGAGGCATATGGGCTATTGCCGGGTGGCCGGTCAAGAGGGATCGTTGATGATGGTCAACCAGCTTTCTCCCCAGCATCACTAGCCTCACTATATGATATGAAAACGGGTCGGGAGGGGGGGGGGGGGCGACTTCCAATCAATGTATATAAAAATTTGTCTCAATTCTCGCTATCATCGTAGCAATGAATTCTCTATACGACCCTCCACCGGCTTTGTCAAACAAAGCCCTTGAGGTGTTCAAAGCTTCCACCTCCATTCTGGGTGCCTCCACTCCAAATCCTGCACCTCCTGCTGTGACAACCCCGCAACCCCTTCTCTCACCGCCATGTCCCTCCCATCCCTCCTCTCATTGTCGTACTTCATCCAGAGCAACGTCGCAACCGAAAGAGTAGTTCACGAAACAGCACAAGCCAACTTGATACTATTACTGATAGGATACCTTGGCGCGTCGCCAGGCAAGAACGTCCACGTAGCGATCAATCCGCCAACGTAGCCAAACATAGCGTTTGTACCGATTGCAATGTTGCGTGACAAGTCAGAGATCACGTTTGCGCTGACTTACGCGTTGCACATAGCGCCTAGGGTGAAGGCTGCGCTTGCACAGAGGAAGACGGCTACGTAGCGGATATTTGCGTTTAGGGTGGCGAGGAAGATAGAGTAGCCAACGATAATACTCGGCCCGCTTATGGAGATGAAGATCTGCCCATGGTTGTATCGCCAGCTGAGTGTTAGGATGACGAGGATGAAGAAGGCGCCTACGATGTAGGGTGGTAAGGTGGGTATTTGTTGCCGGACCGTTGTGCGGCCGGGGATTGTACAGATAATTGTTGGTAGGAAGAAGGAGCTACCGGAGACGGTGATGTTATTAAGAAGGAAGACTAGGGAGGTGGAAAGCGGGGTTGGGTTGGCGAAACCTCGCTCCGACTTGTTGGCATCGATCTTGTCAAGAAGAGCAGACTGGGGCAGGCGCTCCGATTTGACGTGGTGTACTGCGTTGCTTCTTCTCCTCGCTGAGCCAGCGGGCAATCTCAGGACAATCTATCAAGGTGATGAAGGCGACCAGTGCAATGCCAATTGTCAAGATGCCCTTGATAGCAAAAACCCTGGGACATGTCAGCAATCGCAAAGCTCTCGAATCACGAACCACATACACCTATCAGCCGTGCAGTGAGCCGAAGTGAGACAGCTTCAGGATCCCTGATGCTAAGAGACCACCAAAGGCACCAGATAGCGGAACTGAAGCTGTCAGCGATGCATGCGATACTTCTGATGTTATAACATACCCATAAGCATCCACAGTCCAAAACGAAAAGTTAGCTCGGCGCGACGGTACCTGCGGGAGAGATAGTACGTGCAACCAGGCATACCGTCAGCCTCAAAGATACCAAGCAGAAAGAGCACAGCACATGCTTGGGCGCGGGTATGTAAGAAGGCAGTGCCGAGAGAGCAGATCCCAAAGCCAAGGGTTGTTGCTGGTAGAAACCATCCTGGACCGATCACTTTGTTACAGATCGTTGCTGGGATTTCGAATATGATATACGAAATATAGAAGACGGAAAGGACGATTTGTAGTCATACTTTTGCGGTATCGGTTGGTCCGTACAGTGTCTGACTATACCCCTGATCGACCACCCTGGACTAGTGTGTTACAGATCAGGTATATATTCGTCTCCTCCTAGCTAGATAGGAATACAGCGCAGTATTCCATCGATCCGATAGTCCTACGTTATCGTTTACCGTAGCTATCAGTACTCTACAGCGGTCCACACTGCTACAGTCATGAGCCCGGAAGCCTGACGACTGGGAGTTATGGCTAGTTTTGATCAGGGGTATAGTCAGACACTGTACGGACCAACCGATACCGCAACAATACTCCTTCAGATGAAGGTCTTTCTCAAAGCCAACGAGGCGTGTGTTGCCTGGTAATTGGTCAGATATGCTGTCAAAATTGTTGTGTATATGGCATATTAACGTTGGTGCGATCAACGAAGCACAACATATAGACAAGAGTGACAGTAATGACAACGAACAGATCGATCTTGAGTCGCAGCTTTCTTTCAGCATTGCGTGCTGCGCCGGATATGTTGGCAACATTCTGCTCGACTTCGACCTTCGCGTTGTACTCCGTGGAGTCGTTGCGATCCATGGCGATTGCAATTCCGATGACCAACAAGCAACGTGGAGAAAAACACACTGGTGACGTTCAAAAGTCGTGAGATTCGCTGCTCTTTCATATGCAATCCCATCTCCTGCAATTGCTGCAAACCCGCTCGAACTGCAAGTCTACACTCAAAGGATGAGTTTACCCCGGAATCTCCACAACTTCTGAAGAATCTGGAGAAATGAGTGGTCGTTCCGGAGCTTGGCAATGTTGTGTGCATGATTCGTGATAGATACCCAATGAAGGGTGTCTTGATTCGCCAAATCATCTCTTGATTGACCAAAGTACATGCACGCAGCCAATTGTTGGTGGGCCCGTCGGAATGTTGCTCAGTTCCGTGCACGTGATCGGAACCATTACTACCTATTCTGCGCTTAACCCTTCACGCTCTGAGTCTTGGGCATACTGGAAGGGAATCATGTTTCAATTCAAAATCTGGGGAAGCGTGCTTGACTGTTCGGCACGTACTGGACAGGCAGTTCGCAGGTGCCGATAGGTAAATGTCAACCAGGAGAACTTGACCGTTCCAACTCACATGTAATCTTGACCTCGTCAGCGTTTCGACTCACAGCTGCATCTCCAGTCTCAGACTTTAATTCTCTGACATGCCACCCTCAGCTATCCCACCAGCTGAGATCGTCTACCCTTCGCCAGTGCAGGCACTCAAGGCGAAGAAGCAGTACGCCAGCGGCTACCCCAGCCTAGCATATGTCGGTGAATAAGTCGAGAACCCACCGACATTCTCAGATCCTTATGAAGAGCGCTCGGAACGCATTGGGCCTTTAAATCCTGGTTCCGTTTCTGATGTCCACTTTCTGTCTTGCATACACGCGCTTACTCAATGCCATTTCCGACCGACTAGAGGTAAGACACTGTATGCACCTCGCATTCGCTAACTGCGATCCCTGAGGATGAGCAGCTCGAGTGGGGCTAGCTTTACGAGTTGCTCGTTTAAATTCAGTCGCGGTGCAGGTCTGTGACGAAGTCGAACAATGCAGTCGATAGGAGGACATCGCTTGCTTCGGGATTTACTCAACCGTTCCGAGACCTCCACAATAGCAATTTCGGCGATGTCCCTTAGCAGTATCGACTCCAGGACCAGGAAAGAAGGTCGAGCGGTTTTTTATATACGTGATGCATAAGTCTATAGATTGTGGGTCAGTTTGGAAATTACAAATAGCCTGCGAAGGGCACAACATAACCTTCCTGTTAGCCACTGCCACGACCCAAGTCGATCCGCTGAGCAAAATCGCAAACGAGACGACCTTCCCGAACGAATAGGCCAGCAGTGTCACGAAGTACCTCACCGAGGCCGCCGACATAGCCACTGATCCGAGGCTATACCAGTACTTCACGAATCAATGCATCGTGCAGTAGAGGTATCCTCAGCTCTTCTCGATGCTATCCGGCTTCGTGGCACCCTTCAAAGCTTTCGACAACTTCTACTTCGTTGGCCACACCGGTATGTCGGCATGGGCATACGATACCGGCGACAGACTGATGGTAATTAAGGCCTTGAACAATCAGGCTGAGATCGACGCAGTCATGGTGCCGATGTTTGAGTAACTCGGTTCCAAGGCGAGGGCATCAAGGGCGTGATCATCACGCAGGAGCACCTCGACCATTATGGCGGCGCGGAGTACCCGCAAGACAGGTTCGGTGTAAAAGTGTACGGCCTAGCGCCCTTCTGGGATGACATGGCTTTGCTGCCGGCAAACGCCACGCATCCTGCGTCAGCGAAAGGCGAGACCCTTACGGATGGCCAGAAGTGACATTGGGTAACTTGATGATCACCACGGTCGCAACTTCTGGATACACACTCGGAACGATTTCTTTAGTCTTTCCGGTGTACGACAACGGTGAAGCGCATATTGCAGGCTTGTCGGGTGACACCGGAACACCGAACAACCAGACGCTGCGAGATATGAAAGTCGAGAGCCAGAACCGATTTGCCAGTGTCGCTACGCAGATGCGCGTTGATTTGCTCTTCTCGAATCATCAAGTGGCAGACCATGCGGTGCAGAATGCGAACATACTTGCGCATTCTGGTCCGGGGGTAGATAACCCCTTCGTCGAGAACGTCAATGGCAGTGCAAACACGAAGCTTCGTCGAGACGTTGACCAGTTCTTCGCAACGTCCTTTGCTGAAGATGTTGGGTGCCATATGTAGTCCTATTCAGACGATCGACGCAATTTCAGAGCTGCTCTTCTAGTCCCACTCTGAAGACCTCCAGGAACCCTTGTATGGTACCAAAATCCAAGAATACGATTGCTCAGCAAGCATAGCACACTCATCGAACGGCGTCGATCGTTCGTCTTATTCCTAGTTTCACAGTAACACATATAGAGAATACGCGCATGTTAGCTCATATAAGACCTTGGAAGTGCCGTGATATCTCTACAATCTCCCATACACTCAGACCCTGTTCACCAAAGTTCTCTGTCGATGGATCCGGTTGCATTGGCTGCGTGGTCGCTGCAGTGCCGAATGCGTCATATAGGTCGATGAGTTCGTCGCCGATGTTGAAGATGTCAGGCATTGACCCCAAGTCTGTGTCGAAGTTGACATCCCCTCCATTCCATGTGTTGGGCATCTCGGCCGTGGTCGGATCCAGCTGTAGCGGTTGCTGCACGCTAGTTGTGGCTGGAAGTTCGCCAACTTCTTTAGTTGTTGGATTGCTCGTTTGAGGTCCTGCTTCTCCGTGCAGACCTAACGACTTGACAACAGGCAGAAGACCTCGGATGCTCTTCCAGAGCCTACGACTAGCTGTACCGTGGCGCGAAAAGCCCTTGACCAACTCGACAGCCGATATGAAGGACTCTCTGCTCGCTTCAGCAAACATGCTTGGTGCGTGACACACCGCAAGCAATAAAACGGCGAGGGCACTGAGCAGGTAGTAGTGATACACACTCTGCTGACGGGCATAAATGTCGCTCGTTTCATTGAGATGCACCAACACCTGAATGCTGTCTTTCGCAATATCAACGACTAATTGTGCAGACTGCATATCCGCCTTGATGTTGTCTGGCGTAAGCACATGGTGTCGGTGGATCAATGTACGCATGTGGTTCCCACGAAGGTAGAGTAGTGTGCGCAGACGATGCAACAGCCGGGGCTGAGACTTCGGTGCAAGACCAAGGCGTGGATGCCTGAACTGTAGCTCCTGTGGTATGGATAGCAGCCAGTTGGAAGTTATGAAGTCAAGATAGTCCTCCGTTTCTTTGGGTATCGTCTGCAATGCAGACCCGTATGGGGGCAATGCCTCCCAGACTCTGGAGCACAGCTTGGCATATGCGACCATTCCCTTCAGGTAAGGGTATGCTTTCCCAGGTTCTGGCAGCTGGGTATCAATATCGCGATCGTTAAGGGCGAAGGACAAACTGGTGCCAAAACTCCATCGTCGATCTAGCTCGTACACGACCCAGAACACTTGTACCGCAAGCTCCCGCTCTTCGGTATCCTTGAAGTTGTCGAGAAGGCTCTGCTTGCGATGTAGACCCATCTCGAGAGCCTGACGACAAGCTCGGCCGATCGCGCGCCATGCAAATAGCTCTTCTTCGGTGTGGCAGAAGTAAAGACTCTGTGTCACGTTAGTTGTCGGTTATTACTGTGAGTGAGGTATCCTTACCAGCATGCCCATGATCTGAATGTCCTTGAGCTCTACCTCAGTTTCGCTGGAGATTCTGCCTACGTCCTGCTCAACTTCAAAGACCAGTCGGTCGGATAAACCGTTCTTGCCATGTATCTCATGAGTGATGGCCGTGGCAATTGCTAGCCCTAGTATATGCGTGTCTTTGCGCCCGAGTCTTTGTAATCTGATCGGTTGCTGAGGATGTCTAACAATCTCCATAATTTGTGGAGCATCTCTGATGAGGCCCTTTGTCTCGATGATGGGATGTACGCAAGCGACTTCTTCCTGGTAAATACCAAGAAGTCTGATGATTTCGTCGTTGGATATACCTTGTAACCCCTCGACTCCGGATCGAAGCAGATGCTGAGCCAATGCTGTTGTAGGCTCTGGCGTTGCATCTCGCGACGATACTGACGATGTGTGGCCTGCCGGATCTTGCACATTGGAAGGTATACCCATTCGATTGAGAGACGACTCAACAATGTTGAGACTGAATGCTGCACGTGTAGGCCCTGCAAATTGAGGTTGCCGGGGTGGACATGTGCGTTGACTTGTAGTGCTGGTATAGGTTGGGCTTGCTGTCTGTTGTGAGATCGGTGTAAGTTCAGCAGCTATAGTCGGTTGACTATCCCGCCTCTCTGCTAAGGCCGCCACAGTGCCCATGAGCGTGGTGAGCTGTTGTCGAAGGAAAGAAACATCATCTGTCAGTTGTTTGTAACTGGAACTAGAGGCTCGTCAACTCTGTCTGGCTTCCTGATGTGGTGGTACTCACTCTTCTATGTGATTCTTCTCTTTACTTTTGTCCTTCTCCTTTGCAGTTTGTATAGCTGTAGGAACAACGATGCATGCTACGTTCACGGTCGAACATCGCTGGCAATCGGCATTGTCATCGAGTCGGATGCATTTGACTTTGCATCGCTTACACTCGTTACTATATGGTCAATGTTGGCATGTAGCGATTCTTTGAGATACTTACCAAGCTGCAGATGTATATTTCGCGCGCTTTGAACGAGAAGTTTCAGGCGCGTCCTGCGCAGGCCTCTTTTGCGACGAGTTTGACACAGCATTGCTGTTTCCATTGGTGTCCATGTTTTGTCAAATTGCCAAACAATCTCCGCCAGCGAAAGATGGGCGTAGGAACGATGGTCGTTGCGTCCACGCGCGACGCGTGGGTATGGGGTTGATAAGCGGCTTTGGATTGGTCGGCACGAATTCGGCAAAGTGCGGGCTAATTCCAGCGCCGTGACCATTCGTTCCGCGGCACTCCTCTCGCTTTGTCAAGAGATCTCAAGCATCGACACCCCATGGACCAGTATCATGGGTTAAGACGCTATTGATTGACTTTTTTGTCAACGACCCGGTCTACCGTCTCGACAACGCGGTAAATTCGGCGCACGAACAGCAGCTTCCACCAATATGTACTGCAACATAGCTGATTCATGTTGTGTCAAGATTGGACTTGGCCTAGCTCGACTCTCATTTTGACCTGAGACGGTTATTCTATATGAAGACATACAAACCTGCAGACCTCAGCCCCTGTTTTCGTAAAAACCAGCTCCAGCTTTCCTTAAGGCTTGCTTACTCATGCAGATGACAATGGCGTTACCTTTTCCGGATCCCATCCAGACGAATGTTTCAACGATCGTCAACAGTGTTACGGCTAGGGTCACGTGCCTCGGCTTTCACTGCGGCTGCGGGCACTATGACCATGTCGCACAAGCAACATGAAGATGTTTGCTGCTATGAAATAAGCGTCTTGACATTCACTCATGTCCTCTAGCGCCTTTCGAACATATAGACAGCGGCTCCGCTCTGTGCACAATTTTTGTCACTTGATATACCGTCAACTTCAACCACACACTTCCACGACATCCGATCGGTACCAGTTCAAGCGATCGAAGAATCTTGCATTCCTCAAAGTACTTTCTTTGTGCCCTCAACTACAACATACTTGGTCTGCACTCGCATATCGCTCTTTCATTTCGATCGGACAACTCGGGTCGATCCCACACCATCGTATCAATCTGTCACAAGGCCAGGTAAGATGAGGAAGTCGCACGCCTTCGGCACGAATCGCATGCCTCTAAGAAAGGTGCAGAAAAGCAGGAAACCAAGTAAGTTCACACCTGGGCGGTGTTTCTATTCGATAGTGCTAATGTAAACAGTCATCACGGCCTTCATGTCTATGGACAGGCTGCAAAATTTGGTGAACTCTATACCGCAAACAGCAACGAAGCTCAGCGACGGCGCATGCAGCGATGCTCAGTGCACACAAGCAAAGGTCACGTCGAGCTCAAAGACTGTACTATTCACTGAAGGCTCGCATCTAGCAATCGGAACGGAAGCGACGATTGCTGGTACAAATAAGATAGTCGAAACCGATAGCTCTGCTGGTATCGGCCTACGTGCCATCACCAGGGCTGAACAGCTGCCATCGGGCAGAGTTACAGATGATCATACAACTTCCGAACACGATCCAGCAGGGATACCGCCATCACCCCCTTCATGTTCTTCACCAAAGGCTAAAACTCCGAAAGTTGGTTTCATAAAGGATCCATCGCCCATCGACACCAAACGGACTACCACTGCTGGTCTTCCGCGATCGGCTAAATCTGTGGACTTCCCTAGCCTTGCTGTCCTGCCTCCTGCTCGCCTCTATGGTGACGACCAAGAACCCTCTGGCAGCAACGTTCCATTCGCAACGGACGAAGGGACTTCGCAGGCCCATGCCCGACGCGCCTTCTTGCGTGGTTCTGTCAGCCGGGAAGTCAGAGGTCCTTTTCTAGTCGAAACTGCAATGCAGCGACTAGGAAGCTACCGTATGCTCCAGGCCTTGTTTCTCGCACATGTCGCCCCGAAAAAGTTGGTTATAGCAACGAACGGTGCCACAGATTTAGTTGTTACCGTTGAAGATATCCAGAATGTTGAGACAGGAGATGATTGCGAGCCATCGCCAGCTACCATGGGATCTTTCATGCTAACCACAGAGTCTGTCGTCGAGGTTGTCGAGGCTGATGACTACGATCCTTTGGACACAGTCTTCCAGCAGATGGAGGATGAGATCACCAAGATGTCACAATCACCGGCTCGGGACTTTTCTGCTCTCAACGGAGCTGACAAGACGATTGATCGAACGATCAATGACAATGAGAAATTGTGGGTCATAGGAAGAGAATCCCACTGTTCTATTACCGACACCGAGTGGCTGCTGTCCGACAAGGACTTTGGCAGAATCGCCGAACTCTCGGTCTCAGATGTTGCTATGAAGTCTCGAACTGCTGATGCAGAGTACAATCCTCTCGTATACTGTATTCAGCACAGCAGCATCGTGGAAGCTCCGAGCTTCCATTGCGAATCCATCGTACCTATCGACTTTACCTTTTCGGACGACGAGGACCAGGCCCCCGAACCTGACGGTTCTTCTGGAATCTCGGCGATGCGTCCTACCATTGGTTCTCAGTCCTGTACCCACCCGAAATCGGGTTATTCACGTAAAGAGCTCCCCAGTGCCACAATCTCTGCGGAATACAACTGGCTGCTCCTCGACGATGGCCTTGGCACAGCTACTGAGCTTACCGTCTCAGACGTCGCCGAAGCTAATGAAAAGGAAGTCACGGCCTTCAGCGAGGAAGTCGCCGCTCTCGCAACACCTGTTCTGCAGAGCATAGCCGGCATAAAGTCGTCCCTATCAGCTCATCACAAGCTTGATCGCCCTAAGCTTCGCCAGATTTTCCGCTCAACTTCATCAACATCACTCATCAATCGGGCCCCCTCAGGCGGAATATGGTCGTGTACCGTCTCCGGAAGCTCCCTCACATAAGCCACATCCTTAGTCTCCGCCACGCTCCCAATCCCTATGTCAACACTCATGTTCCAAATGTCCAAATGTCCAACACCTTCCCGGCACAATAACCTTCTCCGACATCCTTATTCACCTGTTCTCCACCAATGTCATCATTAAGCCCATTCTCGCCTGTGCGTTTATTCTCTGCGTCACAGCTGAACGTGCCGACCGACTTTTCTTCGACTTATCTACCGCCGCACCACGTGTAACCCTTGCCACTGAAGCTGATGCAGAGAAGACGATGGAGTTCGAGACGCAGCGGCGTGCTAAGTTGAGATCTGTGGGTTTGTTTGAGTTTCTGAGGGGGCTGGAGTGGGATAGGGAGGATGTTGGAGTGATGGGAGTGTGGGAGGTATGGCAGAAGGCGGCAGCTAGGGAGCAACAGCGCGAGATGGGGGATTCGAGGTTCACATAGGGTGGGATTTACTGTTGGCTTAGCTAACTGTTTGGTCAGAGTTCTCGGATGCTAGATTCTGTTCGGCAGGTCCTGGTTGGGTAAGGTGCATGCTGGAGAGTGGAGTTTGGAAACCGGCATATGTGATCGTGTTTGGATGGATACATATGTGGTTAATTATAACGTATAGTCGTTTACTGAAACGTAGTGCATACACACGTGGAACAAAGGGTATGAAGATGAAGTAAGCCCGAAGGCTTGCCGCTGCAAGCCAAGCCAGCCTCTCATGCCATCCAGTCACGATCATCGGTATGGTTGCTTGGTCGTCGATGTTCTTGCTGCTGCGACCTGTGAGTTCTTATTGGCATGGATGCTTGTGTCCTCAATGCGCAATAATTCGAGCGAGCAGGCGCCTGGAAATTCGCCGCATGTGAGGAAATTCGGTGTCTCATCGCATCGACACCTGTGGGCTCCGGTGCAAGTTGACTAGGGTCTTGATAGTAAGACGTTGGTTCTTGTAAGGGCAAATGGTCGGCGAACTCTTGGGGAATCGTGATGGCGTCTTCGAAGACCACCTTCTCGCGAGATCGTATTGGTCGTGTATCTTTTAGTGACGAAGCGCGAGAAGCGGATGGGGTATCACTTGATTGTTGCAAAGGTTTCGGGCATTCCAAAGCTGTTGGGACCCGGCGAACATAGATTGCTTGTCGAATTGAATCCACGCAGATTCCTTTGGTCTCATTCGCCGCTGCAAGCGCGTCATGTCTCGCGCTCGATGCTGCATTCACCGCACACGGTGGTGGAAAGTTGCAGACAGGACCAATAAGTATGTCTCGTGAGTCTTGTGCCTGCTTTGGAGAGTTCCTTTTCGATAATGCCAAGTTTTGTCGAAGTCTGCCTAGAGTCTGGGCAAGTATAGCGCAGTCCATGCAGTTCGGTTGTTCTTGTGCTTCGGATGAATGGCTGCGACCGTCGCCAACGTATATGTGCTTGACGTCGCCGGAAAAAGATCCACACATCGTGGTAGGGCTTTCATGGCCAGGTGGTGATTGCTGTGGCATGGACCGCTGGCAGGATCGGCGCCAGTGCTGTACACGTTCATTAGTCGTCATAGAGCGTCTAAAGCTCAGTGCATGATCGCGGCGGTCGATCTCGCTACGCTGATTTTGAGTAACCTGGTTTGGCATGGTTGCCACGCGCTTGATTGATTGCAGTTTTGAAGGCGTGGTTTGAAGTGGGCATCCGGGTGCGCGGTAAAGATGTGGCTCCATAACGCCTGTAGAAGAAAGCGGCAGTGGTGGCTTCGTGGTATCGGGAACTGAACCATTTCCTCGAATTATGTCCAACATAGCGTCACCCTTTGGTGCTGTAGTCAGATTTTCGTAGCCTTTCGAGGTGATGAGGATGTCGTCCTCGATTCGCATGCCACCGACGGGCAAGTAGCGCTGCAGAACCTTCTGATTGATGAAGCGCGAGTGAATCGGTGATGGGAGGTAGAAGTGCTGGAGTGCGTAGATGGAGAAGTATCTGATGTTGTCAGTATGTCCAAGTTAGAAATGGTGTCAGACACGGTACTTACATCCCTGGCTCCACGGTGACTACCATGCCCTCCTCGAGCTGACTGCTCTGCGCGTCTGTAGGCGCATGGCAGAGAGCCGGATCAAAGACTGGCGCGTGAAAGTTCTGCGGGAATAGCGAGGGCACCTGCACTACGTTAGCTATGTAAACTCCATGTACGTATAGCATGCGATGTCTCACCTGTTCGAGCACAGCTTTGCCGCTCCTGACGCTCATAAGCTCAGCCTGCCCGACATCATGCACCTCCAATCCAACGTGATGACCCAGACCGTGAGGAAAGAATGCTCGACTTGTGCCTGCAGCGTAGATCTCTTCCCTCGTCCCATTTTGCAAGATACCAAGCTTGAGAAGTCCATCAATTGCGATCTGGTGTGCCAAGATGTGAAGATCAAGATATCGCACGCCAGGTGCTAGACGTTCGATGCAGCTTTCCTGCATACGTTCGACCAACTTGTAGATGTTCTCTGCTTCTTTGGTCGGCCATGACTCGGCAAGTGGGAACGTGCGCGTGATGTCGCTGGCGTATAACTCGTATTCGCAGCCGGCATCAAGACACATGAGTTGACGATCATCGAAGTCCTCGTTGTTTGCGTCGTAATGCAGAGTTCCAGCGTTTGGACCAGATGCAGCTATGGGGTCGTATGCCTGTTGCTTAGCCTGGTGTGAAATGCAAACATCCAAGAAGAGACCCTCAACTTGCGCCTCGTTCTTAAACTTCAAGATGTTTGTAAGCACCTTATTGTGCGCTTCTGAGCTGATGTCGTTGGCTTTGCGAATCAGGCTGATTTCGTGCTCATCCTTGATCATACGCGCTGCGTTCATTGCGGGCTGTAGAGATTCCGAATCGATGATTGCATGGAGTCCGGGTATCTGTGGGAGTTGGCCCTGGTGCAGCACGTAAATGTCGCTGCCGTGTCCGCCATAGTAGTTGCTCCAATCCTTGATGACATCACCAAGTTCATCGACATAATATACTTCATCAACGTCGTACCTTTCAACAGCTTCAGCAAGAGTTGAGCCACACCCATTCCAGATGACGCGCTTTGGATCGATTTTGGGTATAAAGAGGGAAAGAGTGTCATGTTGGATATCGTAGGTCATGTGGCACGATGGCTCGTTGCATCTTTCAGTCATTAGTAATCTCGCTTTCACAACAAGACCGCTACACACCCGGTGAGATAGTAAAAGTATCGTCGCTGCCGGAACGGCGCAGGCATATCGCTGTCTTCGTTGTTCCTCGCCGGCTGACCGGCAAGATAGATCAAACCCTCGTCAATTCCCAACTTCTCCTGCACACGACGAGCATGCTGTCTCGCTACAATCGCTAGATCAGTATATGGACTTTGCATCCGTGTTCTTGCATACCTGGATACTTCTCAAGCGAACCGTCGGCGTCCAAATGAACCCAATACTCTTTTGCCTCCATGCTCAGCCTCACAGCAAGATCCATCCCATCGAGAGCATCCATCTTTGCGCCGGCGCAAACGTCCTTATAATTTTGAGAAACGACTGCGATGATTGTTGAGCGGCGCACAAGGAGTTGTTATGGCGCATCGCAAGGCAGAACCGGTGAACGCTAGCGCCAAGGTCTGGCTCCACCGGTCAAAGATCAGACAGCAAGGACCACCGGCACGGATACAACAACAACTCGTGTCACAGAACTCTATCCGCGTCCACGTTATCAAACTCGTTGTCAAAGCCCAATTCCGGTGATGAAAGCGATGGAAGAGTTGATGCAGCTCCCCTGACCACTTCTACTACCGCCATGCTGTCCTGACGACCCCGCGCGCGTGACGCACAGCTGTACCACTCATCGTCCACACAACGACCGTCATTATGTGCCCTTCGGCTCCGTCGTCCATGTGCACGACCTGAGTTTCTTCATGCGGCGAAGGCTATCGACTTCCGACCCTGTGCAGACAAAATAGAAGAAAGGAACATGTGGTGGCTGGCCTGACGCGCTCTGATTGGTCGACGAAAACCGGTGAGCAGCACAAGGCAAACGCAGAACCGCGGAGGATCACCACAAGGAATGGAACGTACCGGACCATGTCAAAAACCATCTTTGAAGCGGCTGTGTCGAAATGTCAATCGGTATGGGATACCGTTACAAGAAATCAGCAGCTCGCGCTATCGCTCACCAGCCGGACGGCTTCGATTGTTTGTGAAGCAAGGTTTTATCTACATTAACCCTGGGAGCGCCCGCTCCACAGATACAATCGCCAGTGACTCTCCATGGTTAATAAGATCTGGTGCTTGCATACCTAAGAGCCTTGTCATAACGTGTGTAACATTTCACTATGACTGCCAAATCTGGCAACGTACTCGAAGCGGGCACATGCAAGCAGGTGTTGCGCTCAAGTTCCACTCCGATGTATCTATCTATTAACAACTTCCTAATTCTGCTACGACATAGAACCTCCTCAGTCTACGAGACAGCGTCCTATGAGGTTCGAAACGACACAACCAGCGACCCATCACTACCTTCCATCGCTTTCTTTCGGTACGAATTCCCAGGTCTAGAACCCTGCCTCCTTAGCCTTCATCACATTTGCAAACAGTGTCACGATAACGTCTGCATACAGCTCCACCTGATCCTCGTGTACATACTTGCAGCTACTGCGACCACACGGCTTGCCTCTCAGCTCACGCAAGCAACGATCGCTATACATGGGCTCTGTGATCTTCCTCTCGGCAACCTCCACGGTCTCTTCCACTGCCTCTTCAATCTCGTACTCAACACCCTCGATTTATCCGGAAAGGTGTTTAACGCTGTATGCGGAGTGGCGGGTACTTCGATGTTCTCCGGCTCTTCGATGTCGCAATCACTGCTCTGTGGGCAAGAAACAGATCCGTTCCACTCTGGTCGCTGGTCAAAGGCTTCCACAAGCTTCGTAGCGGTACTGGAGCTGCGAAGAGCAGGGCTTTTCGAGCGCTCTCTACCAGACTGACAGTCCGCTTCATCCTGGCTGTCCACCGTCGTGGCACGTCTCTTCGCCTCACGAGTCGAGGGCAGACTTTGGAAAGAGCTGGACCCTTGGCCAGTGGTCGTTGATCTCCTTAGCCACGTCGCTGTCTAAGGAGCTTTGGTGAAAGGGTCGCTCTTGCCCCGCAGATTGGTCCTGCTCCTTCGGTAGCCCGTTGGTGCGACTGATTTCCGAGTCGATATGCTGCGCGTCGACCTTGCCAGAAGTCTTTAGGCGTTCGATCATTTCGGCTTGATCCCATATAGTCCTTTTGTTATCCTTGATCATCTTCGAGTCTTGAGCAAGGCGCTTCTGACACGCCTTCAGCTTAGCCATTGTCTCTACGTGGGCCGCTCGTTCTCAGTTTGTGTCTACTCCAAAGTGCTATTCTGGCCTTGTGGCTCGATGATGTGCCGCAGCATTTCTTGGTGCGCCGCTCAGTTGGACATGGTGGCGCTGCTGTTACCATTCAGCTTACATTCAAGATCAATAATGTGAACTTATTAGTTCCGTAGAGAGTGTAGAGGATAGCTATTGTGTCAAGGATCGGAGCAACGTGGGCGATGCGTGTTGATTTGGCTGGCAACCGCCAAGACTGCGCAAATCGTCTTGGTGCTTTCTGATGTCTAAGTGAAAGTATTGTATATTTTTGAGGCACCCGTCGCGTTGTTTGCAAAATTTCGACCACAGCGGTAAGGTATGTATGTCGAGACACATAACTCGAACATCGTTTGCATTGTTCCAGAGCAGATATGCCCATGCTCTGGTTCTCCCAAAGGTAGAATTCCAGATCGGCCAATCTTTGGGCCTGTCATAATAATTCCCTCCAGTGACAATGCGTCATTAATGCTACAAGACATGCCAGGAGCTTCTCCGAACACCTTTTCAATCTGCCTCTTCTACAGTGGGCTACTGGTCAGATACAACGTATTCGGTCCCTTCATCATGTAGTTCCTCAAGCTCAAAACCTACATGTGCAACCCGGCGCTGAGTCGCCTCTCATTGTCTACGCTCTTCCTCCTGGCGGTCCAAATGTGTCAAGAACCTGCAGTCATAGAAGTGGTATATGTAGTTCCTGACAATAGTAGGCGGCTGTTGAATCCTGGTCACTGGAGCGAAGACGTTCTGGCCCCAGGAAGTCTTTCTCTTCTTGGCAACGGATGCGGAAGGCTGAGTCGCGGCAGCGCCCCATCCTGCAGGCTGTTTCGATCGCTTAAGGCTGCTGCTGGTGCCGCGCTGCGCCTGTACAGCAGTCGCTGTGACTTCGAGCGCGGCCAGCTCTTGCTTCAAGGCGGTGATCGTCTCGTCCTGGTCGTGCACGCGCTTCTCGGCTGCTTCTACTCTTACCTTTAGTCTTCTGGTGCGCGACTTGCTCTTGGTTGTGTTTGCGCTCGATAACAAAGAGCTTTTTATTAAGCTTGTCGATGCTCTCTGCAGCGCCCGACTCGATCGTGTTCGTAGACATCGTGGTGGTAGCTACGGGTGTGTCAGCGCGCATCGTGCTAATGACCCACCGAGTAGCGTCCATTGAAATTCAGGGCAACGGCAGGTTGATTTGTGGTCGAAAGATTGGGCGATAATGAAAGTTAGCAATGGTAGTTTGTCAGTGGAATCGAGCGGGTGACACCATGAGGTGCGTTTGGGAGAGTCCGAATGAAAGTGGACGTACGCACCACTTACATGCTTGAAGTAACACCAGGCGCTCAAACCATGGGAACTTTCGTTCCGTTATGAAGCCGCTGATTGAAGCATCAATGTTTTCATTCCATGATATAGAAACCTTCCAATCCGTATTCTGACTATATACGACTCAAATACCTTATAGTGTTGCGTACAAACACCGCATAAATATACCCAATGATTACCACTGTAGCTGAATTCCTATACTTTGCATGACAAGGAGATATTTGGTCTCCAGTCCCGTCAATCTGCCCGGCGACCATGCGTCAAGCCGAGCTCACATCATGACTTTGCAACGTTGAGCTGGGACACTTCATCGTCGATCGAAGGCTAGGTCTAAGATGTCCTTTGCAAACACATTTACCTGATCTGCGTATACATACATACATGCCGATCGCTTACACTTCTTGCTTTACTCATGTCTCAGACAGAACCTGTTGTACCTGGGAAGCCTATCTTCGACCTGTCAGGGGTGTAGCCTGCTGCTACAGTTGGGCGCAATGGGGATGTGTCATGGGTGTGTAGCACTTAATGTTAACTGAATCGATGACGACAGCGATATTCGGGCCAGCAGTGGTGGTGGTCCCGGTGGAATGTTTGTCGAGGGCGGAGTAACCAAGGAGCTGGCCGCTTCAGCAAGACGGCGCCAATGGTTGCGATCTTCCTCCATGAGCTGAATCTTCGCAGCATAGTCGTCGCAGGTGCCTTCGAGGTCGAGAATGCGAGCCTGCAGAGCATCTCTCACCCTGCTGCTGGCAGCCATACTGAAATCTGGAATATGATTAACTTGCTTTAGCGCATAGTCGGAGAAATTACACACAATAAGAGAGATAGTTGACGAGGGTGGTGAAGTTCGGTGAGTAAGAACTCGGTCAGATTCGGAACGTCTATTGCTTTCCATCTCCTATCTAAGCTTAGTCAGACATTTTCGATCAGAGTGAAAGGAGATTCATTCATCCGGTACGCTCACCCGTGATGAGCTGAGCCCGAACGACGGTTGTATAGGTTTTTTAAAATCACGAAGGCATAATACGGGTTTGATTGACTGAATCTAGTGGAATTAACAGCTCTGCTGGGGTTGACAACTGATCATCACAACCTGAAGTGACACCTCTGTTTCAACGTGGAGTTACTCGCGTTTACCTATACGCAAACCCAGATCGGGTATGTCTCACAGAGCCACCTCTCCTCTGCCTCCTGCCACCTCATGGCCTTCACACCGTCCTCGCTCTCCCCTTTTGGTTGGTCGCAGGAAGTACGCCTGATATGAGACTTTCGTGTCCTATGTTTAGCAACAGGTCCTCAGAGCGAGACGATGTGACTGTGCCTTTGACAACTATGCCATACTGCACACATCAGAACAGCAGGGTAAGACATGCACATTGGTGATCAGCGGCACTAGCGGAACTGTGAGCATTTCGGCTGGTCACCTCGCCTGTCTTGAATGTGGGGCTCCCCATCTCATGGTGGGCTTTGAGCTACATGTCGGTTTCCAACACCCCAACATCAGCTCCATGGAACTATGGACGTTGGGTTACGCACTGCGGAACTGCATGACAAAGCGTCTCTAGGGACTGGAAGCGCCAGCGAGACACGATCTTAGAATCTTGATCCGTCCCAGCCAGATCAGCATCTGCCTGATATAGGGCATACTACCTCCCACGTCAGACAATCAGAAACTGGTTGCAGTGAGCGGTAGGGTGCGATATCTGCGCATAAGCCCAAGGCGAAATTGTCCTGACTGCGCGCTGTCAATGAACTTCAGAACCTGAAATGTTGATTTCTGGAGTTCGCCACCCGCGACTTTGAGCAGGCCTTGAAGTTTCGGTCATACTGCAGCATCTGCAGGGGAAGGCGACCTTGGTCGCCAGTGTCATCAACCCTTTGAGTTGATGTCACGCAACCATCCTTCTTCATCATCCGCTGCGCCTTATTTTGAGGGCAGGATTGAAGAAGAAGTTTTGATCATTTTTTGGTGATGGTAGCGAAACGAGCAGCGCCTGGAGGTGAGGTGAAAGAGGCCCTTGATGCCGAGCCACCTCCACCACACGGTGAGGTCGGCGCTTGAAACTACGGTATGTACACGTCAACGCGAAGCTTTGCAGATGGAGTGGAAGACAGCCAAACTCTGTCCATTATGTTGTCGAGGTGCACGCTAATCGTGACTGGTCATCAGCTACTCATCGTCCTCGTCTTCGTCCTCGTCTTGCTCTTCCTCCTCATCATTCTCGTCCACATACATGTCTTCATCTTCATCTGAGTTGATCGCGTCACTGTCCATATCGATCTCCGGCGGCCACTCTACGTACACCTCGTCCGCTAGACTCCTGATGAACTTCTTCACATTCTTCCCGGAGCACTCCCTCATCATCTCAGACTGCTCCTTGCCGCCAACCTCAGTCCTGAACTGCGCTGTGTGGCGACTCTGCGAAAGCGCGCCAACCTTCAGGTAGGCTAGCTCGAGCTTAGATATAGCACCTAAGCCTCTGAAGAATTGTGACCATATGTTCGGCTTCGTGTCGTAGGGTCCTGGCGGCCCTGCTTCGATCGTCATGCGCCAGAGGCTAAGGCGCTCAAGCTTAGGAGCAAACCTAGAGAGCACGGCAAGCAGGGTGTCTCTGTTGACGTCCAACTGTCCGAGGTCTAGGGCTTTGAGGTGAGGAAGATTCACGGGTGATGGCTCTTCCATGGTGATCTTCGTAGGGCTTGGTGGTACAGGCGTAGAGATAGGAGAAGCAGCAAGCCAATTCATAAAGTCCATGTTATCGGCGACGTGAAATTTCTGGAAGTTCAAGCGCAAATACGTCAGGTTTGGTGTGCAGCTCAAGAAATGGCGTAGAGACCGGCCGGCCGTCGTGCGTACGGGCATGCCTCCGTTGTAAGTATGATGAGTGTGTGTTGACAAGTCGGACAGGTTCAGCGTCAGGAAGAGCTCCTTGAGGTTTTGCAGGACCGGCTGAATCGCCGGGAAGGTAAAGTTGGCGAGGTGGAAAGCGCCATCTGGGAGACCTGCGGGTTGCTGGCGCAGGAGAACTTCGAATCTGGGTGGTGTTCGTCCGGCAACGCCCATAGAGTACAAGAGGTTAGAGAAGACGTGGGACACAAACCGCGATTGGGAGCCTGTCCCACGGTAGGACTCTCGTACACGGACACCAGTCTGCTGATAGACGGTAGTAGCACCCCATGAAGCCCAGAAGGTCCCATCACGCTCACGCTTGGCGCAGAAGTCACGAACATCAACTGTCTCCAGGTTGCTTAAGCCTTTGAAAGCCTCGGTCAACATTTCGCGGTCGATGCCGTTGTTTAGCAGCGCTTGTTGATCAGCATAGCCCTGCATGTAGCTATGATATCTCAGCAGAAGTTTTCCAACAGGTGGATCGTAACATTACGGACCTGCTGCATGCTTCGCTATCTCTGAAACGAATGGGGATGTCATCATACACATTGGTGGCGATAATAAGATGCTTCAGCTTCTTCGAAAGGCTGACATGTCGGGAGATGTCAAGCAACACCTGCAAGCTCGGCTGAGTGAGCATAAATTGCTTCTTGACGAAGAACTCTTCTGAAAACCATTCATAGAGTGATTTCTCCGTTTGTTTGCAGGCGAGGCGAAGAGCTGCGAGATCGGAGGTTGAGACAAAAGAGGAGATGTACACTAGCAGCTCAAGAGGTAGTGACAGTAGGGTAGCCATTGCGACAGACGCAGTGATTGCAGATTGCGAGGGATGGCAAAGTTAACGCAATGTTATGTGTTCCGTCAATCTCCAGGCGGAAGCGTGACACCGCGCCTTCCTAGTACACTAGCGCGTTGCACTAGTCCCGTTCCGTCGTTGCTGCCTGCTATGCCTGAATCTAATTTTAGGCCACCCATCACGTCGAGCTGTGACCTCACCTCAAACATCACCTGCATAAGAGCCGCACGCCTTCACTTGCATGTAGCATCACATCAATTCGTCTCGATTGCTTGCATGCGCCTCAATGGCTCGTAAGGCTGCTCAAAAACAAGTCCAAGCTTCACTGCTTGACGGCTGCTCCATCGCTACTTCCGGACGCTTCCCCGGCACAACACAGGGTGCTCTCCAAGGACGCATCACTGACCTGGGCGGGACAATTGCGTCCAAAGTCACAGCAGAAACCAACATTTTAATTGCCACCAACAAAGACTTCGAAGCCAAATCAACGAAGGTTGCTGCCGCGATCTCTAATGACATCCCCATCGTCTCAATCGACTGGCTCGATGATACCGAGTCATCAAACATCAAAGCAGACAAGAAGCAGTATTTGCTCAATTCACAAGGTGCATCCGCGGCAGCCTCAGCTCCATCTACGGCCCCAGCCGTGACCAATGGCAAAAAGCGTGCAGCCTCAGCACGCGCTTCACCTACACCAAGTCAGACTGCTTCACAATCGAAGAAGCGGAAGACCCTCGAAGAGAAGGCCAAAATTGACAATGTCAAAGTAGGCGATGGTCAGAACGCAAAGTCGAAGAAGATAACGGTTCCTGTCGACGAGTACTGCCCCTCATCCAACTACGAGGTGTACATCGACGAGGACGAACTTATCTGGGACGCTTCGCTGAACCAGACCAACGCGTCAGCCAACAACAACAAGTTCTACAAGGTTCAGGTAAGCTCATTCAAGCCGATCATTACGGTCTGAGCTAATGCCCGAGAAGCTCCTAAGAAGTCCAAATGGCGCACACTTTCAGACATGGACTCGTTGGGGACGTGTCGGCGAGCGAGGTCAGTCAGCCATGCTCGGTGGCGGCTCTCTTTCTGATGCGATCAAGAATTTTGAGAAGAAGTTCAAGGACAAGTCTGGTTTGAAGTGGGAAGACCGAGGCGATGATCCCAAGAATGGCAAATGTCAGTGTAACGACTGTCATTTTCCACCTGTACTAACATGTTAACAGATGCATACGTGGAAAAGAATTACAACCCCGACTCTGATGACGACGATGATGATGGCAATGGCACGGCCAACGGATCAGGTAGTGATGCGAAAGACAACAGCGACCGACCCGCTGTCGAGTCGAAACTCACCAAACCGGTTCAGAACTTGATCGAGCTCATCTTTAACCAGAAATACCAGCAAGACGCACTGAACGAGATGAACTACGATACCGAGAAAATGCCTTTGGGTAAGCTCAGCAAGGGCACTATCAGTCGAGGCTTCCAGGCCTTGAAGGACCTGGCCGCCATCATTGACAATCCCACAACGTCCCAAGAAATCGAGCAACTCTCCAACCGATACTACTCGCTTATTCCACATGCCTTCGGACGCAATCGGCCAACGATCATCAACAACAACACTCTCCTTAAGAGAGAGATTGATCTGCTTGAGAGTCTGTCCGACATGAAGGAGGCCACCGATATGCTCAAGGCCAGTCTCAAGGATGATAGCCATCTCAATCAACTTGACCGCCAGTTCCAGACCTTAGGCATGGATGAGATTGAGGCGCTCAGCCCCAAGAGCTCTGAGTTCAACGAGCTATCTGACTACCTTACGAAAACCAAGGGTGCAACGCACAACGTCAGGTACGATGTGCAGGACATCTTCCGTATCCAACGCAGGGGCGAATTTGAGCGCTTCGACAAAAGTCCTTTTGCAAAGGTCTCTGGCAACCGCCGCCTGCTCTGGCATGGCTCTCGTGTTACCAACTTCGCTGGTATCTTGGGTCAAGGTCTTCGCATTGCGCCTCCCGAGGCTCCCGCCACCGGATACATGTTCGGCAAGGGTATCTATCTTGCTGATATGTCAAGCAAATCGGCAAACTACTGCAACCACTACCAATCTGGCGGTACCGCATTGCTGTTGCTCTGCGAAGCGGAACTGGGCAACCCTGTACATGAGCTCACAAACGCTTCGTACACTGCCGGTGAAGATGCCAAGGCGAAGGGCATGTGTAGTACCTGGGGTAAGGGTCGGGTCGGCCCGGGCCAGTGGAAGGACGCCGGCTGTGTTCACCCGTCGTTGGTCGGTACAATGATGGTAAGTCATACGCTGAGAATCTAAGGGACTGCATACTGACTCCCTCTTAGCCCGATGTTACAACCATTCCTGGCGACACCAACGTTGATGGTGCTTACCTCCAGTATAATGAATACATCGCCTACGATGTTGCTCAGGTGCGTCTGCGCTATCTACTTCGCGTCCGCATGTAGAACGAGCTGGACTGGATGTAGGTGCGAGAGCATCTCCCGTGGACTTCCTCTTTCGATCAATTGTATAACAATTGTCTCGATCATTCCACCTTCACAGCCCCAGTATCAATCGCGGCGTTATGTTGACTTTTTATCGATCCATCGGCGGAAGGGGGCCACCATATGGCGTATCTATATCATATTTCCCAGTGTCTCTCTTGAATATCGACGAAAGGATCGCCATGGAGACGTCCTGCAGAGATAGCATCGATACTTGTTGTGACGATACGACGGCGTTATCATCAATGGCAAATCTTCAAAAAAGTCCAAATTCGAAGCCTATCTCTCTGGTGACGTTGTCCAAGGACTTGCTCCCGTCGCCTGCCCAAAAAGTCTTCGGAACGCGTACCACAGCCTCATAGTATGGATAGCTGCCAAGCGAATTGTCTACAAATGCAACAATGTACTCCCTGACGAACGTGCGATTCTCCGTTGTCAACACTGTTGGCTGGGATCCAGCAGCGACTAAGGGAATGAACAAAGTTTCAGTGGATGCGAATATGCTAACATCCATTCTTAGCCGCAGGTCCTGGAGCACGGCCAGCACATGTCGTACGGTAGAGGCAGCCGACTGCGCATCTGTGCTGATAGACAAACCCTGGTCCGAACAAAGGTCTCTGGTAGCCCAGCGTACTGCGTAGCCTCCCAGATCTTGCACATTACGGGTTCGCTTAGTTCGCCCGGCCACTGCAGCAGCCGCTCTTCGATATCGTCATCAAGTGGTGAGGCAAGTAATTTGATCAGACTGCAGGGAAGTCCCATCACCTCTTCGACGCCACTCTGACTCATGCAGTGCTTGTGCCACATGTGTAAATTCTTGTTCCGGCGGCCGAGGGTATGCATAAAAAGGTCCAGCACGCCTATCAGTCCAGTTAGTTCTCTTGACTCATCAGTAGGAGACTGAAGCACGTGTCTTTGGTGAAATATGCTGGCGATGCCGTTCAGATGTATGCTGAATGGCATAGCTCGGTTCATCTGTTGATCATCAGCAACATTTTGCCCCCAAACTACAAAGACTTCACCTACGCTAATCGAACATAGCAGTATTTCTGCATACGGCGTCATGTCTTCCTTGAACCACACCAGATCTGAGAGCGCCTGTCGAAAGGCATTGATACTCCGGCCATAATACTCATCCACATGTTGAGCATGCTTGGGGTCAAATGTTATCTGATAAGTTAGACTATTCAGCAGCATTAATCTTGGTTGGGCGCAGTAGCCCAAGCTCTCGCGGAACCGTCTTGGGTAGGGTATGCTTTCAGTTGCAGGTTTCGCGAAGAGGGTGAGAGCACTCCAGTCCGCAACTACCACTGATGTCAACAAACACATTCACTGAGACGAGACATTCAAGCTCACAGTCGTACAGCACATCTCTTTCGAACTTCGATAATGAAGCATAAATGTTCCGGTCCAAATACTGCAACAGGACCTGGTCCTTCTCGCTTTCGCAGTCGCCTAGTGATATATTTGACCACGAGACCGGTGTCCCCTGTGCCTCGACCTTCAACTCCGGACTTTTCCCATAAGCTTGCATGCCGGAAGGTGACACAAGGCCGTCCGCGGATCGCCTACTTCAGCCACACTCCGTAGCCCTCACATGCGAGATTGAGCGAACGACAGGCAAGGCAGTGCGGGCGCGTTTCGTCGCATTTCTTACAGCGGGGCACGGCATGTCCAGCATCCAGTTCTTGTCTGGGTAACGCCAGATTCGGTCTGTGGGGGTGGACATGTCGGATGTGTTGTACGACGTGTGGCTGGTGAAGGATGCGGCTGGTGTTGGGTGGGATGCAGGAACGGTTGGCGATCTCTTTTGCGCTAACTTCGGCAGCAATAAGCCAGAAGTGTGGGGATTGATCTGCCAAAACTGCGACACGCTTGCAGCCAGCTCATAATATGAATCTTCTGGTCTTTGATTATCGCTACCTCTGGGTCTCTGTCATTGACTTTCAGAAGAGCTTCTTGTGAGCTTCGCAACTGCCTACTGCACGGACGCTCCTATCTCAAAATAGCAACAGCTGACGTCATCAACTTCTTCATCTCATCTCGAGCTCCTGTTGACCTCGACCTACACAATAACTTTGTTCTGCTTATCACCAACATAAGAGGCACTTTGCATCGACGTTCTGAGCTTGCAGTCTTCAAGTATGGGTTTATGGGCGACGAGGCGTATTTTGTACAGGTCTCTCCTGAAGTCTCGGCGCCAAATCTTCTCCAAGCTGCGCCAATGCTGTCTTTCAACTTGGCGACTTACATTACGCACCCCTTCTAGCTTGCCAGCATCCATCGCGCACGCTGCCTTGATATTTGTGACGAGTAGATGATGGCGTCTACACATCCCAAGCTTTCCAGCCTGGCCGGACTGCAGGCAAATGCACAGCAGCTTGCTAGTTCCACCCTCCACGGCGTATCGTGCTTTGTTACATACCGAACAGCAACCATGCTGCGCCTCCTTTGAACGAGCATCGACCGCAATTGTAAGATGAGACGGCCATTCATTGCAGCAGACGGCCGCCAAGGTCGCTCACAATCTCGTGACGACTTGAGCGCTCAACGTTGGCCTAAGGTCTCGCTGGTTGATGGCTTCCAAGAGTTGCACAGTCGCCCAGCAACTGCTGCGGCTCAGCGCCGTTACTTGGCTCAAGGTCAAATGGTTTCATAACATCACGACTTGCGCATCTGTGCCCTTTCAACTTCTGCTCTCCACATCTTTTGTTGACACTAGCCCGCCCTTTGCCTTCGGTTCCACCACGTCGCTCGCTCAACTCGCTGCCTGAGGCACGTTCGCTACGCATGTCGAATTTCGAATCCCAAACTTTCTTCTTGTGATACCCGGGCGATCCGCGATGAAGCCTTCTACACTCGTTTACACGGTGGTTGGCTTGCTGTCGCCAATCGCCACTTCTGCAATAGAGCTCAATGTTGACGATCCAGGTACGCAAACTGAATGCACGCCCGGACTAGACTAACATGACCAGAATCGATCAAAAGCGCAACCAAGATTGTTGCAGCAGGTGTGAGAGATTGGTATACGGGTGATCGAGTCGGCGACACACCTGGCAATCTGCCGGATCCCTACTACTGGTGGCTATGCGGCGCCATGTTCGGTTCCTTCATCGACTACTGGTACTACACTGGTGACGACTCATACAACACTATTACGACACAAGCAATGGTCCACCAAATCGGTACACCACAGGCTTTCATGCCACCTAATCAAACGAGTACACTTGGAAACGACGATCAAGCATTTTGGGGGATAACAGCTATGTCGGCAGCGGAGAACAAGTTTCCAGATGCTGAGGGTCAGATGTCGTGGTTGTCGCTCGTCATTGCCGTCTTCAACACACAGGTTCCGCGTTGGAACACCAGAACCTGCGGTGGTGGACTCAACTGGCAGATCTTCACATTCAACAACGGATACGATTACAAGAACACAATTTCGAATGGAGCGTTATTCAACATCGCGGCCAGGCTGGCAAAATACACAGGCAACAGCACATATTCCGAGTGGGCTGTGAAGGCGTATGACTGGGAACTCAGTGTTGGGCTCATCAGCCAGGACTACCACTTCTACGATGGCACGACCGAACGCAAGAACTGCACGGAGGTCAATCACATTCAATGGACCTACAACGCAGGCATCCACATGTCCGGCGCCGCAGCTATGTGGAACATGTCAGAAACGGCAGGCGACACCGTAAGCCATGAAGCTCACTCGTTTCCATAAGCACCATAGCTCATTGCATCGCAGACTCAAGCAGCCCTTTGGCGCGGCCGCCTCGAAGGCATCATAAAAGCAACCGACGTATTCTTCTCTGCCGACGGCACACCCAACGTCATGATCGAAGTAGCCTGTGAGCGCAATGGGCTATGCGACCACGACCAGCGCTCATTCAAAGCCTACCTCTCGCGCTGGATGGGCTACACCATGCTCACCGCGCCCTGGACGCGCGAGTCCATTATGCCACGTCTGCGTGCCTCTGCCGTCGCAGCGGCCAAGCAGTGCGGTCCCGGCAAGGGTGGATGTGGACTGCGCTGGTGGCAGGGCGGTGTAAATGATGGCGAGGTGGGTATCGGTGAACAAATGAGTGCGCTCGAGGTTATGCAGAATCTGCTTGTCGATCAGGTCTCAGGGCCCGTGGGCGAGCAAACGGGTGGAATCAGCAAGAACGATCCTACTGCAGGCAGTGACGGGGGGAACCTGGTCATTGAGCATGATCCCATTACCACGGCGGATAGGGCTGGTGCGGGTATCCTGACTGCACTGGTGCTTGCGTTCTTGTTTGGTGGAGGTTGGTGGTTGATTACTGGAGATTAGATGGGTGTTCGCACATTCCTTTCTTTTTCAAATGCATGATTCTCCGCGGCGTCCCTCGCGTTGAGATCCACAACATTCGGTCTTCTGCAAGTTTGTCTATTCGGTGCGTCCGCGGGTCCCGATGCGCTTGTGAAACCGGGCACCCGATCCCCATGTGTTTGCGGCTCAGCACAGAGCCTCAATCAGGACTCAAGTGCAGACTAGAACCTCGTCATCCTTCAGGCTGGTAATCTGCATCCGAAGTTCCTGAATTAGCCTTAGGATCTGCCTCGAGTCACAATATACAAAACTCTACGAACATCATACAATCTGCACGCTATTCTTAGCACGTACCACCCGCTCAACCAATCGATAGTGGACAATCTAGCCTCTTACAGCAGGCCAGAGCGCCAGCCAATCACATCTGTGTTCTGGAAGCCAAGCTCAGGGATAGTGGAGGGTTAGCGCATCGTATCTTCCAACAGTGACCGGTTAACACGGGTCAAGCTTTGCTCAAGCTTTTGCTGTTGTCGTCAGCTCTGCCTGTGTCAATCGTTATTTGTAGGGATGGTTGTAGGGACGCGTGCAAGGTGTGGATGTGGGTCGATGCAAGATGAGGTGGTTGGGGTGTAGGAGGTCTTGGGGGTTGCGTAAAGGTGGCGCAGTTTCAAGGATCTTGAGTACTTGTGAAGTATACATGGACGACACTACTCTGCGCAGACTGCAGGTATCATGAGGCCTAGGTTCGATCTCCCCTGAAATTTGTCCCCTTTCTTGTCGTTAGCATCGCGATCGCCGTACCGATACAATTTACGACGACCTTGAATCCGAACAGTAAATCGACACCACCGCGCATCGCGTGCACTCATCTGGACAGCGAGATTGCTTGCAAGAAACTCGAGGTCCCGATCACCCATCGAAACTCTGTCACAACATCGTCAAATAATCTGTTCTCTACCACCATTATAGGCTTTGGCTCGCTCATCTCGTCGGAAGGACGCCAGATACAAAAGATCATGGACGCCAAAGGGAAAGAGATCACCACAGGATCAGAGAAGTCATGGTTGACATCAGATTTCCAAGTGGTGTTGTGGTTCGTACTGTTATGTTGTTTGTTTGAAGGCATCGCAACAGGATTTCGATGGTGAGTCGGAGTGTCCTGAGACTTGTAAGATGGTGTGCTGATATGTGCAGGTGGCGAGGACCTCCAAGACTGGTGACAGAGCGGAGAAGAGTGGACAAAAAGACCGACAGGAGAGGCCCTGAGAAGGTCGACGAGACGGATGAAGATGATGAGGACAACATTCCAGTCCTTTGATAGCGAGGCTGTCGTGTAACAGTATAGAAATGTTCTTGCTAAGCTTATGCTCCATCTGTATTCTGATACTTTCCTAATCACAAGACCGTTCCACGCAACTCCCCATTTATCTCGTTGGTAATTCATGAGCACGAAGAACAGCTTGTCGCCGTCTTGGACAGGTCGCGAACTAGCCGCGAAGTCGTAGTCCGGATAAATGGTCCATGCGATAAGCTCTCTGTATACAGGGGTTTCGGATGGGTCCTCAAGTTCATAGTCGCAAGAAACTCATGAGTAGTCGTGGTCTGGGTTGTATTCGTGATAATGCACCTTGACCGTACAGCTGTAACACTGGAGCTCTATACTTGCATTGACAACATTGTCGAGTTGCGGAGAGCCGATGGGAGTGCAAATAATGTCAAGGATCTCGATCATTGTAGACCACCACGAACACACCCCACTTTGGTTTACTGCTGCTCGGATACGAAAATTGTTGTTGCTGTAGCTCACATGTTCTGCCGCACAGATCCAGCACCATGTCGGCACCACGATGAGACGTCGTTCTTTTGCCCTGGCCCTAAGGGACATCGCCATGTCAGATCCCTTTGTAGAGATTCAACCCACATTCCGACGATATATTTGTCCCCAATACGAGTACGCATCATGCGCTCCGCTAAGGCTGCAAGAGCCGGCAATCAATCTTTGGCGAAGATCAGTTTCAGCTCACTGTAGTCCTCCACGACCTGTCGCCAAGCCTCCGCAGGGTTTTCAATAGGATAACTGAAAGGCATCGTGTTAAGCGAATCTGCACGCTCATAATCAGCGCCTGTTCAATCATGGACGATCTCACCCGATTGCGATTTGTACATGGTGTGACATTCCCACAATAGTTGCACGTCTGTTAGATGAACGACTTTTGTAGACACACGGCGCTCTTGAGAGACCGAAGCGCGGTTTAGGAGTGGCTATTCACCAAAGTTCTTGCGGATACCCGAAGAAATCAAGCCGATGTCTTGCTTATGTTGTTGAGTAACATGAAGACAGTCGCGGCGATAGTCAAGAAAGCGTTAGCATATATGTCTGCCATGGTAGCAGCAGCTTCCTCCCAATCTTCAACACCGCCCTGCAAGATACCTGGCTGTGTTGAGTCATGCGTTGGGCACAAAAGGTAGCGTACGAACTTACACAAGGCGTCAATCTAAAGAAATTGAATCCTTAGCCTCAAACACACTTGAACAGCCTCACGAATTGTCTTCCGTAAAGTGGAAAATGGAATTTCCTTTTTGAGTGTATCCAGGTTGGACGCAGTCAATTTCAAGGCCACGTCCTGGGATCCCCAAGAATGACTAAGGTACGCATACGTGACTGGAGCTGTAAGATGCTCGCGCAAACATATGCAGTGACGTGTGATCTCAAGTATCTGCTTTGGTGAGTAGTCTCTGGCAGAATTCTGACAACAACGTTTGTGGCTCTGTATGCATTCTTTGACCCAGTTCTGGAGAACATTGAAAGATCGTCAAGAAGTTGTATGCCCGGAGGAGGGCTGGCGAACAAGGTACTTGTAGTGCGACGCAGCGCCCGATTTGGGCACAGTCCAGCCTTCCGAAAACGAAGGTCAGCTTTGTCTCTGCATCCAAGTCATGGAAGAACCTTTTGCGTTGAAATATTCTCAAATGAGTGGTATCCTCAGCTCCGAGCGGCTATTTGAGATTGATGGCACGTTCCAAGGCCAGTATATCGTCTTCTCCTAGCTAAATAGCAATTCAGCGCAGTATTCTATCGACCCGATAGCCCTACGTTATCGTTTACCGTAGCTATCAATATACTACAGCGGCTACGCCGCCACATCATCTATGACGGGCTCGGAATGTCATTTCAGTAGCCTCATACCGCGGGGCCAAGTCATTAGGGCATCCAGCGTGATGCCACAGCACTGGCCCAGGCTGCGCTATGGCTCTCATAGTCTTGATTGTCAGTACTGGGTAGACTTTCCCGATGGAATATGTGGCAGACATCACAGAGCCGTTCAGATCCAGATTCCACAAGACGTCTTGCTTCCTCTTCTGCTCTAGCTTCTTCTTCCCGCACTTCATCCCTCCAAAGACACTTCGTGTACAGGAGCTGCCTCTCCACCTGTCACCTGACAAAGTCGATTTTGAGCTGACCAAGACTAGTATGTAGTAAATATGTTCATTCAGACATTAGCAGTCAATAGCAGCGATTCAATCGCAAAGGTATATGTAGTGATCGTAACCATTTCAATCATTTAACCTTTCCACATCCACTCAATTCATATCCCCCTCATTCATCCACTTTTTATTATCACTCAGTAAATAGTATTCTTCTTATTGATATCCTCCCAGTTCGTCGTCGCGTGCTCAGTATCCGCAATACCAGGCTGAACTTGTCCGGGGACAGTCTCATGGTGGTGATGACCAATTGGCCCGCCGTCAGTACCGCCAGCACCGTCGCCGTAGCGGCCAACGTTCATGGGAAGACCGGTGCGAGGCTCGATGACGGTGCGGTCTTCGGCGAGGTCTTCGACGGGGTGTGCGCCGTAGACGCCCTTGCCAGTTTGGCTGGATAATGTTAGTCGTTGTGCGGTATGTAAGAATTTGGGAAAAGGGGAGCTTACCGGTCACCAGAAATCATGTTTGGGTCGCCAATGGGGCCGTCGACACCGATGTGCTCGCGCTTACCGCCAGTGAAGGCGTTGTGGGCGGGGGTGTGCTGGTCACGGTTTCCGACAGCAGAGCCAGAGGTGGCGTTGCCAGGGATAGTGGCCTGCTGAGAGCCAGCAAGACCAGTTTCGGTGTAGCCCACGGTGGTAGAGGTAGGATCAGTGCGCTTGTCGTGGAGCTCGTGTGCGGCAAGACCGCCAGCACCAAGGGCGCCGCCGCCGATGGCAGCGTCACGGCCGTAGTGGTGCTCGCCTGTGCGGCCAGTGGTCTCAGTGCGAGTAGTGCCAATAGGTCCATCGACACCAACACGATTGTTGGTGTGAAGAGCCTCGTTTGCTGGGTGACCGGCAGGAGGGTCCTTGTGCAGGAGGTTCTTGCCCTTGTAGCCGGAGCCGTGACCAAACTTATCATCGCGTTCATGCTCTACAAGACCAGAAGCACCAGCACCTACACCGCCAGCAACAGCGGCATCATGACCGTAGTGGTGCTCATCGGAGCGGCGAGGAGTAGACTCTGGGCTAGGCTCCTTCTTGGACTTGCTGCGGTGCAGGAAACCCAAGAGGCCGCCGCTCTTCTCCTTCTCGTCGTGGTGAGCAGCCTCCTTCTCGTGCTTCTTCAGGTCCTTTTCGTGCTTCTTCTCGAGCTTGTGGACCTCCTTATCGTGCTTGTTCTCAAGGTCATGCTGGTGCTTAGCAGTCTCCTTGTCGAGCCTCTCTTGCTCCTTAGGGTCGAACTGGGGTTGGGTGCGCTGACCATAGGCGTAGCCAGCTCCGGCACCAGCTGCAGTACCAGCACCGCCCGCAAGATCAGCATCGCGGCTGGTGTGAGACTGGCTGGGGTCCGTGTTGTAAGGGTACTGCTGTCCCTGGTTCAAAGAACCGGTCGGCTGGGGCAGCGAAGAGGAGCCTGGCTGAGTGGAAGCTCCGGGGGTAAAGGTGTGCTGGGTCTTGTCATTGTGGTGTGACAATCCGTATCCTGCAGCGGTGGCTCCAGCTAGACCAGCTCCAGCGCCGAGAGCAGCGTTGCGTGAGCTATTGTCCCTGGGACCAAGATCGCTGTTATCGATTTCAGGGGCCTTGTAGGCTTGAGGCGGCTGGGAACTGACTGACTGGGCCAACTGGGCTGTAGTGTAGGGCTGCTGAGTCTGGCCGTGAGTTGAGCTGTGGTGTCCCGGAGCGCCGGCACCGGTCGCACTTGCGAGAGCGGCGACGTCAGGGTTGTGGTAGTTGTACTCGGAAGTCGCAGGAACAGGGTTAGACGCACGAGCACCAGCAGCAGTGGGATCGTATCGTTGCTCCTGCATCGAAGCTCCTGGCTGTGTGCTACGGTGATCACCATAAGCCTTAGCGGCTTCGTACGCACCATAGCCTGCAGCTCCAGCGCCTCCAGCGACTGCAGCGTCTCGGCCGTAGTGGTGCTGGCCAGCCTTGTCGTCAACCCGGGGATCGGCACGGTTAAAGGTATCAGACTGGTGAGGGCCGGTTGTGGTGTGGTCTTTCTGTTTCGCCGGATCGGGCTGCACGCGAGGGTCGAGGATGTTAGCAATGTTGCTCTTGTGAGGTCCGATAGTCTTCGAAGCAGGATCTTCAGTAGTGGAGCCGACAGTGCGCTGACCAGTAGGCTGATCATGGGAACCAGAGTATGCCAGACCGCTTGCAGCAGCAGCTCCAGCTCCGGTGAGGCCTGCGTCACGTCCATAGTGGTGCTGAGGCTGAGGCTCGCCGTGGGTGCCTGTGGGTTGGCTCGAGGTACTTGCTGAGGTGGACGGCAACTGGTGTGGGGTCGACGTAGTGCCGACAGTGCTTGGGTTAGTGGTGCCAGATGTGTGCTGGGTGGCGGGCAGAGATGAGGAGTCCCGTAAGGTAGCGTCATGGTGCCTGTCACCAGAGAGGGCACTGCCAACAAGAGCGCCTGCACCAAGAGCACCTCCACCAATAGCAGCATCACGGCCGTAGTGGTGCTGTCCCTCTTCTGCCTTGGGTGGGGGGAAAGGTGCAGATGAGCCGGAAAGAGGCTGAGACCTGGATGCGGACAAAGTTGCTGAAGGATCCAATATATGATCATCAAGACGAGCCTCGCCGCCAGTGACGCGAGGATCAAGAGTTTTGGAGCTGTAAGGGTTCTTCTCGTCGTATAGGTTGCCGCTGCCGGAGGATATAGTCTCATGTTTGTGGTGAGTGGCTGCGCCCAGACCTGCAGCGCCTACTCCACCAGCGATCGCTGCGTCGCGTCCAAGATGGTGACCAGATGACTCGGTGGACCTCGAGGAAGGATCGTTAAGAGATCCAGGGTGGCGGGGGTCGAGAGAGGTCGAAGCGCCAGTTGAGGTAGTTCCTGACGTCGTACCTGCGCCTCCAAGGATGGGCGTGGGTCGCTCGTTCTCAGGAGTTGCGCCAGGGAACTCGCCAGGAATGTGAGGGCTTGTGCCTGTTCTGTGGGCCTGCGGACGGTAGTCCAGAAGTCCCGTGTGTTTCGTGTGCGGATCGCTGCCGAAAGCCTTCTCATAGTCGAGAAGAGTGCCAGTGTTGATATGAGGAGTCTCGTTTGGAGGTCCATGGCCAGGCTCATTTGACTCGTTCAGAGGGCGCGCACCTGCCGCATGCAGAGCATCGGGGTGAATGTTGTGCTCTCGGACGCTTGAAGTCAGGTGAGAGTGTCCCGTAGGCGACGCGACTCGGTCACTGAAGGTGCCCACTTGGGGATCACGGTCTTCATTATGATGGCTATGTGCAGCGGCAGCTGTGTCTGCAGCAGTCACAGCAGCGCCAGCCAGGCCTTCACGGCCATGGTGATCACCGCCAGCGAGCTCGCGCTCCTTGGTACCAAGCTCACGTTCGTTGGTGTTCAGACTGTGAGTTCCGTGAGTGTCGTGGGTACCATGACTGGTGGAGCTGTGGTCGTGGTGTCCTGATGTGACACCTCCAGATAGAGGGAATGAGCGGTCAGTATCGTTGGTGCGGCTGGAGGCATGCGGTTGTTGAGTAGAGCTGCTGTGGTTACCAGTACCTGATGAAACTGTAGAAAAATGTTAGACTGCAATGCTTTCATTGTACGTAGCGCTAGCTGGGCTACCTACCAGGGAATGTGCCCGGTTGCTCGTGGGTAGTCTCATTTCTGAGCCCAGAGCCAGTGTTTGTGCCAGTGTTTCCCTGACCGACAACCTGGTTGCGATCAAGTCTGTCCTCAGCAGAGCTGTTGCTGGGCAATGCAGCATGACCCTGACCACCACTGCCTGGTGCGAAGCCAATCACGCCAGACTTGATGCTTGCCTCGCTGTTACCGTCGTAGGCGCCACTGCTAACCTGTGGGCGCGAATTGTCGCCATGACGAGAGCTGTCTCCAAGGTGAGAGGTGTCGCCAGGTGTGCCAGCTACACGAGCACCGCCAATTGGCCCATCGGTACCAACATGGCCGGCATGCCTCTCCTCACCGAGACCAGTCGATGTGGAGGTGCCGGTACCAGTGCCAGCGCCGACATTGGGGCTGTTGGAGAATCTGAGAGTCTCGCCAGTTGTGGAGGATGTGTTGCCATGTCCAGTCATCTGGTCATAGATGGGTGTGGCCCTGGCGTTCTGTCAGTACATTTTGGATTGCGTGAGGCGCAACACTTACTGGTGCCCAGATGTAGTAGTTGCAGACGTAGTTCCAGAGGTACCTGTGCGCGACTGCGCAGCTGTGCCAGTTGTGCCCTTGTTGTCGTGAGTAACACCGCCGGCGGTCTCACGGTCCTTGTCACTGCCGTGAGGGTGACTACCATAGCTGTTAGCAATGATCTCTTCCATGAATCGCGTAGCTTACAGGAGGTTCTTGATCTTCTCCATGGTGAGATTGTGTTTGTGTGATCGCTCCAGGGATTGAAAGGAAGGAGCTTGGCTTGTGTTCTTTTGAAGATATCACGAGATTAGTATATGGCTGCAGAAACCAAGGCACAGCTCTTTCGTGTCGAATAACATCATCACATAGCTATAGCTATGAAGTAGCGCCAATGACCTCATAACATACGGACAGGCCGCAGGAAGCTAGACAGCGGCTCCAATGAGAACGTCAAATTTCGCGTCACAACCAAAAACAGCCAAGACTAGTCCAGTTGCAGCGTGTCCAAGCCATGAAGTGTTCCAAATTCACCTATTCGAGGCGCGTGTGGGGTCAGCCACAGACAGCCCCGCGAGATTGCTGTTGATCCTGGCGTCTCATTGTGATCGACCTTTTGCTGACAATGTTTCAATTGCTGAAGCAGGGCTGAACACCCTCAGCTCTGGAGCCTGCAAACGAGGTGAGCAATCAGGCGGTCATAAATGTGGGATCTCCTGCCGTGACACCTTTTTCCTGCTCCCACCTCGCTCGCGCTGATGTCACCGATCACCGACAGGGATGTGGGCGATGGCGTTACCCCGCGTACTCAAATACGGCACCTGACAGAGGGCAAGGCGGCGCACCGCAACACGTCCCAGACGCGTTAGAAGCGGGCTCCAGACCGACTTTTATGGTGGGACTGACATTTGACAGGCGTTTAGGAGGTGAGCAGGAGTTGGCAGCAATTGGTGCAGAGTTTGGTGTGCAGTGCTAAAGACTTCTTGCGCAGGACAGCTCCTTGTCAGCGCAGTGCACGGCAGCGGCAGGCGGCCTGCGTTCTTAAGCACCTGCCGCAAGCTCGCTGCCGACGAGCTTCCGACGAGCGAACGTGACAGGCCACTGATGCCAACTGCGCTTCTAGCGAATCATAGGCGGGCAGGACGCTGTTTGCGCGAATTTCTCGCTGGTGGCGACGAGCCTGCAAGGGCTCTGCTGGCGCAGCGACAGTGGGGTGCCTAACACTTTCTGGCTGAGCGCTGACCTGAGGCCCCGCCAATCACCAGTCCAGGACTGCACCTCGGCCGATCACCTGCTAGAATCGTCAGCTCGCTCTGCAGTGCGCTTTTCGCGCCTGGCTTCTGGTGCAGCGTGCAGGCTTCTAGAAGAATTCTGCATGCAGGTGGTGTGCTTTCCGCTAGTGTTGAGCGAGCCTTCCTTGCCCGTCATTCTTCGGCGCGCGTTGCAGCGAGCCTCCGCGCTGCCCTTCACCTATCAACTACCCTTCCCTCCGCATCGAGGCTGGGCTAGCTGGCGCCGACTTACGGTCAAGCTTTGGCGTCTCCGCGTTTTATTCTAGTCCTGGCTTGAGGTTTTGCAGCGTCTCACTCTCCAGTGTCGGCCATTAAACTCCGCATTTCCCCCAGCGGCAGCGCCTGAGGTCAAGAGTGCCCCAGCACTGTTTCGGAACTGCAACCATCACGCCCAGCGCGCCCGCAGGGTCAGGCTCACCAATCGACGACACCGACCCACCCTCCCCCGAGTCTACCATTGTTATTAGTAGTTAGAGCGCCGGGTACCCGCTCCTCATAACAGCCTCACTGCACCCGTCTCCGCCGACATTCTGACCGGGCCTGGCTGCACCTTCCCTCCCAACACCAGCGTTCCTTCCTGACAACACCACTCCCGCCCACTCCGCATTCCTCCCCGTCTCTCGACGCATCCTCCCCCACACATCACCCACCATGCCGGGAGCACTACGAAGCCGCCTCCGTCGCGTCCTCACCGGGCAGGAGGGCGAGGGCGGCATTGCGGGCAAGATGAAGCGCAACAAGAACACGGAGCCTGCAGAGCCCGAGAGCGACTTCTACAAGCCCGGCGAGAAGATGCCGCCCATGAAGTACCGCCGTCCCGTCGACCCCGAGCACAAGAAGAACCTCGAGGCCTTCACCTGGAAGAAGGCATGGCGCCGACGCAGCCACCAGAGCCTGTACTCGCCAATGGGCAGCCGTCTGCCGAGTCGAAAGGGCAGCTTTAGGAGTCGCCGCAGCCGCAGCCGCAGCGTGCACCGCAGCCGGAGATCCAGCTTCCACAGCGAGTACGACGAAGACGACACATGGGTAGACAGCGGCATTGGAGCGAGCATCTCTGACAGCGAGCGTCCTGCGAACATTCGCGAGGCCAGTGACGACGAGGGCGACGTCCTTAATGGTGTGTATTTGTGAAGTTGTCTCGTCAACCTCGACTAACGTGCGACAGTCGGCCTCTCCCGCAACCCGACACAAGACCCTCGCGACACACAACGGAAAGAGTCGGCAAGCGGCCGCCGTCGGTCGAGCTCAATTCAATCAGTACGACGAAGCAGCACACGTCCAGGGACTGGCTCTGACCGCACCCGTCAAAATTCGCAACCTTTCTCCCCCGAGGACCTCGAACTAGCGCTGCAAAAATCGCACATCGAAGCCAAGAAACTCGAAGCTATCGAGCAGTCTGACCCGAGTGGAAATGGAACGCCAGAGGACGACGATGCCAGCCCCTTCAACAACCTGCGCCCTCGCGGTGGGTCCATCTTCATCCCGCAAGACGCCGAGAGCCCTGGGATGTTCCCTGGATGGAACTTCGTTTCTTCACCCACACAAGGTGGACCATCATACTTCCCACCAAAGGACGGCAGCCCTCTCCAGTTCGAGCGACGCGAGTCCGTTTTCGTGTCGAACGAAGAGCCATCGATGTTCCAGAGACGAGAGTCGGTCTTTGTTTCAAACGAGAACACGCCCCAAACCGGACGACGCGGCTCGACCTACGCACCACACGAGGAAGATGACGCTGTCCCAGCGCTCACACCTGCACCGCCCGTCGAGCCATCAAAGCGCAAGCCCATTCCGTCCTGCCCCAGTGAGGAAATCATGAAGATTCTCGCCCGCAAGGACTGAACGAAGACAACACACACAACATTCACTTCACTTGTTAATATTACTGCATCCATTTTGTGCACCTAGGGTTCGCACATTGCATTTCCGGGCGTTGTACGATTGTCCATTTTGGAGTCCTCAAGCTTTGTGCCGTATTCTGTTTTGCGCATTGGGTTAGCTGTCATGATAGACCCTGCATAGGCTAGTATTGGATTATCAGGAGATGGGAGTGCTCATCGAATGAAGCATGAAAGCATAGATTCACTGGGGAGATGTGGCACAGTAGCTATCATAGTTAGCAGACGCAGCCTCAGAGCGCGCAATGATATTGTATCATTATCACAACCTCTGCGATTCTTCACAGCTGCAACATTACAACGTGACTACCATCCAAGTCTCGACAGCGATAATGATGCGCATCACTCCCACGAGTTTAGGCACCCCTTCCTGTAACAGCGACCGGACCGGCTTTCCTTTTGCGGAAGGGATGCTCGTTACGTCGTCGTTACAAGCTCCAAGCCTACCATCGCCAATCACTCACTACCATCCCCCACTACCTGAAGCACCCCACCACTCACAGCGCAGCAGCTACCCCACGCAAGTACATATTCGACTGCATGAAAGTAGGCTAAGCTGAGTATTCCTACGCGTACCCACACGTACTTCCAAGCATTGACCTACACAGTATATACTACATGATCGCTAGCCCACACGTAGATCTTCAGAAGACGCGTTGCTTCGTCTTGCTCCACTTTTCCTTTTCTCAACTTTCAAGCTCGAGGCGCAGATTGTTGAAAGACAGGCATGCAGAAGACCGAATGAGGGTGCAGGTGGGCATGCAGGTCTTGAACCGACTACGCACCAATCACCGAGTCGTGGTAGCGAGCCAATCGCACCGACCTGAGAACAACGTGGAAGTGAAGGGAGAGATCAATACTGCCTATCTTGGTAGAGTTGAATGGGTATTGATCACGGTAGGGCAGATTGAAGGCATCAAACTGCCTAATGGAGTAGGTTTCGAGAAGTGTTGATCACGCTGCTTTGTGAAGTGAAAGCTCGACAGACCAATCAGAGCGCTGAGCCAGTCAGCAATTCCAGCTCGACTGAATTGAAGTGAAAGACGTACGCATTGCCTGTTTATACGCGCAAGCTTCTACTGTCGTTGTTTATCTCAGGGTCTGGGACGGGAGCGTCACTGTCTTCGAGCTTGTCGAGGCGCTTGGGGCTGACCCTCATCAGTACTACGAGCCTTTGACAGAGTGAAAGATTGATTCGCTTGGGATAGACTTGCAATCGTATACCGTACAACGCTCTCCCATGGATTTCTTCCGCCTGCCTTGGTGGACTCGCGTCTGGGCAGTCCAGGTGTCCGTACTTGCGCACAAGATAGTGTTTCAGAGCGGCTATAGACTGCTTCCGGAAGATTTTTCCTGCATCTCGTTCGGAGCATCGAGCTATATGATACTTGTTGCTCCTAATTCACGTTCTTGGCTACTGGGGAAGAGCTGACAACAAAGATTTCAAAGGCTGCTGTGCGACAAGTTATGTTGTTCCAGAAAATCACAACAAGCGAAGATAGACAATGCTGAAGGTTTCTCGATATAGCCGCAAGGTTCTGCACGCGTCAGTGTTCGGATCCACTAGACAAAGTCTATGGCTTGTTGGGTCTAGCGGACGAGTCCTTCAGATCAAACATTGTCCTGGACTACAGTCTATCACCGCGAGCCGCATATGAGATGCAGCCATGACATCAGTGTCCGAACCACGCACCCTAGGTATCTTCAGCTACGTATACGGCAAAAGCCCTCAGGACCTTGGCATACCATCCTACTTCACAGCCTCTGTGTGAAATGGATATAGAACGCATTTTCTCCAACGGCGCTGGTCGACGCTGGAACACTTCCGCGCCGTCCAAGTCAGCTTTGCAAATGTATTAATGAACTCTCCACTCGAGATCACAACTCAGGTTGTCTTTATTGATACGATCGTCAAGATAGTGTGGGCACGTACGCACAAAGTTTTGGACGGAAGTACATCGTGGACGGTGCACAGTTGCCGATTTACGAGGTTCATCTCGTGGCCCATACGCGTCTCCTGAAGCTTACTGGCAAACACTATTTGGCGGCGTTATCCTCCAACAGCCTTCAGAATCCCACTCATGTCGTCTCATACAAGACGACGACTACGCCAAATACGCAAAGTGGCAGACTTGGATCGACGGCAAAGGACTTGGTCTTGACGATAGAGATGTCTTCAACTTTCACCAAGCACACGTTATAGCACAACCGGACAGGCTGTTCGCCATTACAAGCACGGGATATATGGGTCCAGTTCCTGTGAGGGCTAAGGAAGGCGCCCATGTGGTCATCAGGCCTGGAGGGAAAGTACCCTATGTTCACCGTTAGATCCCAGACTCGGAGCAAACTCTCTCCGAAAATAATGCAGACAAGATCGACCATTACGAACTCATTGGTGATAGCTTCGTATACGGAATCATGCACGGCGAAGCCTCTGATGAGTCAAAGTTACACGATTACTCTGGTGTAGGAAGCTATCTCCACTGGCGTACGTCAAGGCAGTGCAGGAGGAATTGGCAGGTGGACGTCGACAATAAGCATTTGTAGGACATTGCTAACCCTATAAGGCCTCAAAAGGCATCAAAAGCTTTTGCGTTATTGTACGACGTACTAATTTAACTTGGAGACCTCTAGAGGCTTGTTCTGAAGCGTTGTAACCTCGTAGGCGTCCAATACAGTAGGTTGCGATGGTCGTCGATTGCTGCTGTGTGATATGTACAGGTAGTACAGCACCTGCATGCATGCGGGTCTGGCCCAACTCACCGCACCGCTCCACACCGCTCCACACCGCTCTGTTCGCTCCGACACTTCAACAGATCATGGCAAGAGTGTAGGTCATGAATTAGACTTCGATGGTGAACTATGTGAAATATGGCGGCGCCCCTCATATGCCAGGTTTGCGAGGCGGAGGGTGAAGAGAGGTTGTAAATTCTAGTCGAGCTACGTCAGTTTTCATACTGTAGTAGATCGATGGCAACGGAGAAGTCAAGGGTGATATAAATTATGGTTGAGCATAGCTCGGGGTCGTTGCACTCCCTGCGATTTCGAGGACAGAAGGCACGCCATGCTTACTGCTTCCCCGTCCTCCTTTTCTTGTTCTTACGTTTCTTCTCGGGCTCCGGCGCCGCCTGAGGCTTCTTTTCGATCACTTCGTCAGCCTTGGCTTTGAGCTCAGCTACCTTGCCATCGTCGCTGAAGCCATCCCAATCCTCTTCCTCATCACCATCCTGTTCTTCCGTCGGAGCCGCCGGCTTACGCACATCCTCTTCCATCTCATCTCCTTCCCTCGCCACAACCTTGCTCTCACCATCCCTGACAAAAGCAGCGACAAAGAAACCCATCGTCCCCTCCTCAGTCCCCTTATCACACCTGATACATCCCTCCAGCACACCCCCCTTGCTCTTCTCATCAACAACAGACCCACTCAACTTGCCATCCTCCCACTGCCCTCTCCTTCCCCACTTCCTCAAGCCCTCAACCTGCTCCTCACGCCTAAGAACGCGCCACCCGCGCTCCTTCGCCACGGACGTAGCGAGCGCTTGGAACACCACGCCCTCATTCTCTTCGAAGTGGATCGAGCACGTCGAGTACGTAATCTTCCTTGCGTTCTGGAAGCGCATTGCGTGAGTGAGGATGTGTAGTTGGAACGTCGACAACGCAGTGAGGCGTTCGGTGAGCTTGTCCGCGGCGTCGAGGGGGACTTCTTCCGCGGTCGTTTCGTCGAGGTTGAGCGTCATTTCTTCCTTGGACTCTGCTGCTGTGGGTTTATCGTCGGCCTTGTCGGCGCCGCGCTTGCGCTTCTTATTCTTCCTGCTCCCGGCGCCTTGAGCTTTGGTGGACTCTGTGCTAGAAGAGGGGAGATGCAATTTGATCGCGTCGTCGCGGCCCACAATGCCCGTGCCCGAGCAGCTCGGATCGAGGAGAATCGCACCCACGTTCTCATAATCCGGAGAGTTAGGTTTCGCAGCGATGAAGTCACTTGCGCCTTTCACTGTAACAATTTGGTCTGCGCCAGCGAGCTTGACCATTTTCTTCAAGATCTCGGTTCGGCCTTTGTCGCGCTCGAAGGCTATGACTTTCCGCTCGCCCCCTGGGTCTTGGGTAGAGACGATGGCGGCGGCGTGGGTGGTTTTGTTGCCTGGGGCTGCGCAACCGTCGATTACGTCGCCGTCTTGCTCTAGCAGACCGAGAAGGTATGCAGGGAAGCAGGACGCTTTGTCCTGGAAGATGATGTCGCCTTTCGTGTAGCTCGGTGTTTTACCCAGATCGATCCTGCTCGGCAGCGCAAGCAAATTTGGAATATTTGGGTCCTCGCAGTAGATCTTGCGTGAGCCGCGCGCTGTGAGGATCTCCCCAATGCTTTCCACCTTTTCATATCCCTTGAAGGTCGACTGCAACTGCTCTTTCAGAGAGCTCTTGATGGTGTTCACCCTCACCCATCTTGGATGCCTGCTCTTCTCCCCTTCCTCGCTATCATCGGAGTCAAGGTCGCCGGCGTTGATCGCTTCTCTGAACGCTTCGAGCGTGGGGAATCCGTGTCGTATGCGCGCCTTAGTGAACTCGGCGCTGAGACGCGCTTTGTGCCGTGTGATCGCGAGGCGCAGGACGTGATCTTTGTGTGCTGCGACACCCGACTTGCTCAGTAGGAGATCGTGGGTGAGGAGGAGCGCGAGGATGGGCGTCAGCTACTCAGAAGTCAGCTTGAATGTGCAGTTGACTGCGATCACGTGTACAAGGCATTTTGAAAGTTTCGTAGAGCTGTGTACGACTGCAATGCTGGTGGACGTACCTTCCTCTCCTCCTCCAAAACCCCACACTTTTCAATCACATCCTTCAAGACCCTCGACCATTTGGACGCTTCAGCCACAAGCGCATAGATCTGCCCCGGCTTGCTCTTCAAGTCCTTCTTCTTGAAGATGCGCGCCTTGAACGAGCCGCCGATCTTGTCGGGGTTCTCGAGGATCGTCGCGGTTTCGTAGTAGAGCGACATTGAGAGCTTGTGGTTGCGGTTGGAACTTTTTTGGTGGTTGGCTGTTTGGCCGCGGGAGTGAGCGGGGCCGTTCCGCTAGGCACCGGTAGAAAACTGAGCTTGTGTGCATCTTGACCTGACTAGGGACTCGCAAGGATTAGCTAGAAGATTACACGCAGTGAATGTCCGCTTTGGAACATAGAAAGAAACAAGATGGTATCATTGACAACTTATGAACAGAGAAAATAACCCGCTTTGCCAAGTGATGTCATCGCCGAAGAATGAAGTCCACAACTACGCTCACTCTTCCTCCTCAAAGCCTACTGACCCTCTCCGTCCTTTACTCGAGACTAAGACGGTCGACCCGCTGCTCTTCTTTCACCCCGAAACGCACAATCTCTTCCACAACTGGCCAAATCCTGGAGAGTCGTCTCTAACGACGCCCAAATTCTCTCCCGCATCCAGCCATCAGACCCTTGTTTGCCAACTCTTCAATACGTCGTCACACAGCTGAATCGCAACCATCGAGCGCGTAGCTGCCGTATCTTATACAACTCCCACTGTTTCAACATCGTCCAGCCACCAGGTCCTCGTTCGCCAGGCATTCCTGTCCGCATCCTATTGCTGGGCTATAACGGCCTGGTATTCGTGTCCTTTCGCTTCGGGTCCTGGTTTGGTAGTCACGTGCTGTGCGAGACTGGACTTCGCTGCTTCTTGCAGTTGAGCCTCGACGTGCCGTTCCCGCTCGCGGTCACGTTCAGGGGGCGAGTCGCGACTTGAGGGTATCCGCGAGTCTTGTGGGTGGGGATATTGCGGTGTTTGCTGTGGGTGTGGACGGTGCTGGTGGGGTATTTGATGTTGTTGTTGTTGTTGTTGTTGTTGCTGGGGTTGTTGAGGCTGCGGCTGTGGTGGCGGGTGGGCTGTCGCCTGGGGCTGCGGCGTTGACCGTCCGTTGCTGCTGGCAATATGATTCGATGCGTATCCATGGTGGGGACTCAGCATGGACGGTGGACTAGCGGTACTCGCTCGGTCATGACTTTCGTGGTCGGATGTGTCGGTATGCATGTTGCTGTTTGAGCCAGGAGGATGGGCGAATGCGCCGTGCAGCTCGCCTTCTCGAACTTCTTTCCAGGAGCATTTGGCGTGCTTCTTAGTGCAGCCCATGCAGGCTGTGAGGTTCTTTAGGCAGTCCATGTGGAGCCTTCGACACCTGTCGCATGGTGGGAGGATGCGCTCGCCCTTCCCTAGACTCTCCATCCGATGGACCATCTCAGCCTTGTAAGGGCCTCCATCGTCCTTCTCTGCCGGCTGACTTGCGCGCTGACTAGCAGCTGGGAGCAGATTAGATGGTGTATTTGGAATCGGCACAGGTGAGTTCATCATCGACTGAAGCTCAGCTTCGTTCAATTGAGGAGGTCTCGCATGGCTGGGAGGCGGCGGCGGTGGTTGTGCCTCTGTAGGCTTGGAATGAGCTCTCGAAGCGTTCGTTACTGGTGTAGATGGATGTGACAAGGCCTGAGGCCCAAGGGACGGCCGTCTCGCGTCTGACACGCCATTGACGTTCTGTGACAAGGGTCGTCGGTCATTGACGGTGTGGAACTTTGTCAGCAAGTCGTGGCGAGTGGTAGAGGAGGCGCCATTGCCATTGCTGTGACCATGGCCATTACCATTCGGCTCGTGGTGAGGGCGAGCATTGACGGCAACGAAACCACCAGGTGATGTTTGTGAGGATTGCGCTTGTGCCTGGGTTGCATGGCTGGAGCTACCGCCGTTCATAAGCGCTACATTAGAAGGGCTCAGTGGGCGGATAGGCGGGGCTGGGCTCGCTGTCGCTCTACGGTCGAGGATAGCCTGCTTGCGCCCCTTCAGCCTGTGGTTGAGCTGTCGTGTGCGCGCGGCAACTATGCACTGTCAGCCTGAATCCATTTCAATATCTGCAATGTCAAACTCACCCTGATCGGCCAATTGGCAGATTTGTCCCAGGTTCTTCTCCAGGATCTCGATCGTTCCCAGCTCCTTCTCCTCGTCCTCTATTATAGGCTGTGGAGGAATCATCTTCTGAGGAATGCCAGACGAAATAAGTACAAAGTCCTCTTCGCTGATCTGAACCCGGCACTGCTTGGTGTAAAACTGGCAGACACGAACTCCTTCGCTCATCTGCCCCAATTGGAACTGCTCTGGTTTGTTGCGCGCAAACTCGACCACATCCAGCCATGTGACCGTTGTTCCATCCTTGCCGTGGCTCTTAAGCACCCGCGGCGGCCCATCAAACAATCTTTCAAATCGTTTAATGAGAATAGGTCCTAATGGTCTTGCGCCCAGGTTGCATGCCATAGACTCATGGCGGTCAAGGACGCCTTGGTAGTCGCTGAGCAGCGACAGGATGTTCGGCAGTGTGTCGTCATTGGTAATCAGCGGCAGGTCTGCGTCCAGGTGTCGTGCCAGGTAGTTGATCTGGAGGTGGTTGTGAGTCTTGGCGGCCTTTGCGTGTGGCGCGGCTGGGTGCATGTTCTCGTGCGAACTGCTCCGTTTCCGCTTGAGGTCTGTCGCAACCGGCTGCGCATGGTGTGCGTGCGCCATGTTGAGGTCGACCAGAGCGTGCGAGTCGTGGCTGGACATGTTGCGCGCGCAGAGGGCGGCGGAGAAGAATATGGTGGTGGGTGCAGCGGATGCCCTCCCGAGGGAGCACTGGTTGGTTGCGCGGGTGGAGGCAGGCGGAGTGGGTAGGCGGACACGCTAGAAGAGCTCACAGCAGGTCGGACGACTCGCTTTACAGCACCATTGCAGCGTTACAGGTAGGAAAGCATCGCGCGGGGAGGCAGAGGCAGGAACAGGGCAAAGCTGTGCACGTGGAGAGGGATGCGGACGGAGGCGGACTGTGTAGACACTCGGCAGCAGACAAGCACCGGGGCGCGGGAAGCCACTCTTTGACGCTCAGGGTGCGGTCGAAGAGCAAGTGCCAGCGCGCGCAGAGGGCGGGCCCACCACCAAATGCAACCCGTCACGGGAATAAGAGGTTAGCCTAGCAGAGCGGAGCCCGCAGCCAATGAAAGAGGGCGGGTGAGCAGCTGCGGTCTGGGCTCGATCTGCGATGGCAGTTCATATCAGAAGGCCTGAAGACGCCGGTGCTCCGAGGGTTGATGCAGGTCCAGGAACAGCATGATTGTGAGTAAGACGGTGACCAAATGCCGTCTGTGGAAAGGACGAGGCGTCTGGCATCCAGCCGTTCACCTACTCCCCCTGTCGTGAAGTTCGTGATGTGAGTACGCGTCTGCTTCAGATGGCCGCTTCTCCGGAGCGAACTGGGAGAGGCCGTCCAAGTGGCTGTTCGAACCCCACGTATCAGCGTCGCAAGCAAAGCAAGGAAGCGTGCCATGCATGCAACGGGCGGCGCGCTCCCCTCTCATCTCGCAAACCAACGACGACGACAGCGAGGGCGGCATGGCGGGACAGCACCAAGCAGAACCAAGCAGTCACCAGGTCCAGAACCCTCGAAAAATCCCGCAGCGGCGCACACCTACGCGTCCCGTCAGGTGTCACAGAGTTCCCACCCCTCACAGCGCTGCAGGCGGACGGCACCGGCGGAGGCCTGCACGCTTGAGACTTCCACCCCCCTAACCCAAGCTGGCTCAACTCTTACCCGATCACGTGCACTACTCAAGCCACAACTAGCTTTAGCTTGAACTCACCTTGTCGCGCACAGACCGCTATATCGAACTGCACGTCACTACGCGTTGCTGCTGTCCAAACACACGATCCTTACCAATCACGCACAACATGTCTGAACGCGGCGCATTCCGGGGGCGAGGAGGAGGCGGTGGAAGGGGCGACCATCGCGGTGGCAGAGGTGGTGGAAGAGGGGGCGCACAGGGTGGAAATGCGGCGGGGCAACAACATACTGAGAGGCCGAAGAAAGAGAACATCCTGGACCTGAGCAAGTACATGGACAAGCAGATCACCGTCAAGTTCAGCGGTGGGCGAGAAGGTGAGTGCAATTGAAATTCGAGACGAGCTGGAGTTCGGACGAGGAAGAGGGGACAAGATGGCAATGCAATATATGGCTCAGAGAAGACAAATGCTGACAAGCGTGCAGTCATTGGAACCCTGAAGGGCTACGACCAGCTGATGAACCTTGTGCTGGATGAGGTCAAGGAGGCTATGACAGGTAAGCAATTCGGAACATCGAGAGAAGGACTGAGCTCATCGTGATGTAGACGACGAAGGCAATGTACGATACCGCAAGCTCGGCCTCATCGTCGCCCGTGGCACACTGCTCGTCGTCATCTCGCCCATTGACGGCAGTGAAGAGATCGCCAACCCATTCATACAGGAAGAGGAATGAGCTCAGCCCGAACGCGATATGTTGAGCCTACAACAGGCGCTGTATCGAGCCAGCCGCCGAACGGTTGTACACTGCATTAAACCTCTCAAAAGTAGCAGGCAAAAGAGGAGGCAAAAGCAGAAGCAGGCTCTGCATGATACCCACGACCATCATACGAGAACTTGGCCTAGTTCTGGTTTGACAGACCACACGCAATGGACAGTATCTGGTGTCAAACCACGTTCAAAAATAGTCACGAAACAATCAAAACAAATCGAAACGCCAATCTCAATCTCATCACAACCTAGAGTCATGGCCATGAGCGTTGAGGTAATGTGCTTACCACCGAGCCTCTGTACTAATACTTGGTTTGTGAGACTGAGGCGGGGGTGATCTACTTGCATACATGCATGACCACTGGAAGGAGGGAGTATTTGGGCAGGTGCGAGCAGCACCTTCGAGCAGCTTCTGGACCAAGCAGTCGCGACTACCTCCACGGTGCCTTCACTTACACCTTCCACATATCACGCTCGACCACATCATCATTTCTTGAACGCCCTATGCACCTTTTCGTCATCACATCAGTATCTCAACATCATGCCCCTATTCCACCAGGCGGCACCTACCCTACCACCTCTTACTACCCCAGCCCCCGATGTCTCCCGTAGCAAGCTCAAACAGCTCGCGCATTGGATTCGCGATGATCTCGACATCCTGGTTGCTCGCGAAGGCCCAGATATTCTAAGGCCAGACGACGTCCTCACACTGCACGAGCTATTCGTTGCCCTGCGCCAGTCTACGAGCATCACAGCCCTCGATCTTCGAGCGACAGGTATTCATAAGGCGGTGAGAGATGTCGCCGGCATTGCTACACGCTGGCCGGGACGATTATGCGATGACTGTGACAAGATCATCACCATCTGGACCAGCAAGTTCGGGCGCTTCGACGAGCTTCATCCGTTCTTGTATGGTAGAGGTGGGAGACTGGAGGGTATTGGGAGCGCGACCGAGTACACCCGTGAGGTGAGACATGCACGCTGTTCTCATACTGGGTATCGCTGATCTTGCTTAGGCGCTCCTCAAGAGGTGGTCAGAGTACTGTCCCGAGAGGATACATCCCAAGGTATCCCACAAACACGGCGATCTTGGTTTCAAGGCCGGAGAGTAAGTGTCTGGCCACCAACCAGAGGCCAAGGCTTACGGTATGCACAGCTGGTGGATCAACCCTCTGTTTGCGCACCACGCAGGAATCATCGGGTTGGAGTCTATTGAAGGTGGCACCACCTACGACAAGAACGGTGCATATGCTCTTGTGCTGAAGGATACGGGCGAGGTTGATGCTCGATCCGAAGAGTGTTTCATGTACCGCTGCCCCATCAACGACAAAGGAAAATTCAGACTGATGGCCGCAACACCTGCGTCTCGTAAACCGATACGCGTGCTTCGATGCCACAGCATCAACAGTATCTGGGGTCCGAAGGCTGGAATCAGATACGAGGGGCTGCAAGCAAGCTGGATCCGGATGTTACTGAGCATGCTGACCATTAGACAGTTATTCGGTCAGGGGCTGGTGTGTCCGTCAAGCTAGACTCAAGGACACTACCAGTGGGGAATGGAAAGAAGGAGATATCCTTTATGAAGTCACGCTGCAGAGGGTTGATCCGATACCCATTGAAGAAGTGTCCAAACGACCGACAAACATAGAAGTGGACGATTATGCGGAGTACAAACGACTACGAAAGGTTCATCGCGAACACAAACGTAAAGGACCCGGACCGTTGCCACTGCCGCCTAAGGCCGCCCCACCTATCCTGCCACTTCAGCTATCAGCCAGCCCAGTGTTGGCACAGCAGTCGCTGCTACGCGTTTCATCAAGTGCTTCCCGCCAGACCACGTTCAAAGAACCTGCTTTTGATGCACCCAAAAAGTCACAAGACCACGACAGACAGTCGACCTCCGATGTTGTCTCTCCCATGACCGTCCCAGGTGTGGAAGAATCCTTCTTCGCGCCAAAGAAGAGCGGTATCCTGGCGATCCCAGCTGTAAACGACAAGAACAGAAGCAGTCCAACCACCTCAGCTGACAACACCTCACCCGAGAAACACGTCCGGGTGCTCAGTCTTGGTGCTGGCTCCCTCGCCAGCAGCACTCGATCGGGTAAAAGTGAGCTCAGGAAAATCATACCATGGATTGAGCTAGAGTCTGAACTACCAACCCCTTCGTCTCCTAATGCACCACCGGTAGTGAAAGAGCAGAGCGTCAGCAAGGCCATGGAGCGGCTAGAGGTGAAGGCAGCTGAGGCGAACCCGGTAAAAACCGTCAGGAGGTTGGCGAGAGAATCGAGACAGCCAAGTGATCTGAGTTTGTGGAGCCAGAAAGCGAAGGAGAAGGACACAGTCACGAATGCGCTAAACCTGGGGCTTTATTCTGCGAAGCCGATCCTGGGAAAAATGAAAGAGAAGGGAAGGGAGACAGAGAAAGAGAAGAAGAGGCTCACGTTTGGGAAGAAGCATAGATTCTTCGATGGTGCAGGATATAGTGTTGATGAGGGGGGGAAAGATTACGCCGTCCCACCGCGTTCATGTGCTCGCTATATGCGCTCCAGCTCAGCGAACGATACGCCCCAGATTTACTCTCCGATGCCCATCAGACCGCCAAGGCCGAACAGCCTCTTCAATCACGGCATTGAAGATATCGAGTTCACATCACCACTCGACAACCTGATTTCCTGCCCTGAGATGGCAACACCAATTAGCAATCCGACATCGCCGCCGATGATGACTCCTGGGGTAAGTCAGGTCAGTGGAGAAGGTATCGCTCTGGGAAAGTTGAAGCGGTGGTTGAGCAAGTAGGTGGAGTTTGTCAGTGTGCTGTATCATTCAACACGTCTAATGCTAAATGCTTCATTCTTGTGGACTGATGACCACCTTGCCCCTCACTTTCCCGTCAAACACATCTTGACTTGCATTCTGCAATGCGGATAATCCTCCTTCGATGTGAGTGTAGCTCACCGGTGATACCGAGCCGGATGATAGCACGGAGGGAAGGTAGGATGTGTACCACCACTTCCGCCACTCGGTGTACTCGTCCTTTTGTGCTGCTTGCGAGAACGCGGTGTATATGACTTCTACGTTCGAGGGTAGCTCAACCCCAGCGCTAAGAGGAAGAACAGAGGCAAACTTTCCGCCAGACGGTCGCAAAAGCTCAGCGATGGTTTGCTGTGATGATGCGTCTCCGGAAGCGGTCATCAAGTACTTGAACGGTCCGAGTGCACATAGTTGCGAGAGGACATCTGCGGCTTTGTAGTCGATGACTGCTGATGCGCCGAGTTGGGTAAGGTATGTCGTCGAACGTGGTGATGCGGTGCAGATCACCGTGTGTCCCACAGAAGCAGCGTATTGGACTGCATACTGGCCTACTGCACCGCCAGCGCCCCAGATTAGAACCTTCTCGTCTTTGAGGCCGGGTGAAGGGCTGACAGAAGACGTGAGGGGTGGGGCGGACATGCCGAGGAAGACGTGCAGTGCTGCTACGGCGGTTTGAAGAGGGAAGGAGGTCAGGACTGCTTGCTCGAAGGAAGTATCTCCGATATGCTATCGTTAGTCTGAAAGCTGTGGTGGTTGTCGTGGGAGATATACCTTTGCGACTGTGCCTGCAGAGCAGATAACAAGTTCCTGCCACGCCCCTTGCTGGAAGTTCGCGTTTGGGGAGACGTAGGCCTTCGTGTCGAAAACTACCCTGTCGCCAACGCGAAGGTTCATCGCTTTCGAGCCTACTTTGTCGACAATGCCAGCACCGCTTGAGCCGAGGACTGCTGGGAAGTTGAGTGATGCAGCCGGCCCATAGTTGGAAATGAACATTTTGGCATCGAGAGGCTGGATGGCAAGGGCGTAGTTACGAATCAAGACTTCGTTAGGTTTGGGGTGGTGGGTTTCGACATCTTGGATGGAGAGAGGTTGGCCTGGTGCATGGAGGATGGCGGCGCGGTGAGTAGCCGACATGACGGTCGAGTTGACACTAATATCTGGGACTGGTCTCTGAATTGTAGAGATCAAATCAACTTGTAAAGGTGCAGAGCGGCTTGGTACTCTCGTAGCCATCATCGCGAGCCATGGCGTGCCCTTTCTACCATCTCCTGCATTTGCGCTACTTGCTGACATTGCATTGTTCATTGCATGCTCTTCCTTAGAGTGCGAATAGCGTTTTGTTCCGCTCAATCATTAAGCTATTTGGCAGCTGGCTGTAAGCGACGCTACCGCTAATAAGCAAATCATGAAGGAAGCGTGCCTGTGAAGAGGTGTGTAAGCATGGAGTAAGCGGAAGTTGACGAGCCGAAGCCTTGTGGGTAATTTAGCACATTTTCGACCCAATGGAGCTAATTTGGGCACTTGGTCTCTTGAAAACGACCACCTTCATCTCCGCAAAGGGTGCCTCAACGTAGTCGCCTTCATGTATTTGTGAAAAGATTTGAAGTGAAGTGGTACGATGTTTGCATGAAGAATCGAATCGATCCAATTCCGCACTGTAACAATGGAGATGATGTTGAGGGTAGGAGCGTTCCTGCAGCTGACCCTTGTTTTGTGTAGAATCTTACGTCATTCATCGCGAACCTACAGCCATGGCTTTTGCGCGCTGACAAACCCCTGCACTGCAACACCAAGGTCCCTGTCATCAATTATCAAATCCTTTGCAATGCGACTCTATCATCAGCATTTCAAAGACCGTGCTGCTCATGACAAGCCAAGATGCAATCGCGATACGTCCGCACAAGTGGAACTCACCTGCAAGGGTCCCTTAAGCGAGTGCTGAGTAACCTCCTCTTCAACTACACCTCGTGTATGCTCAGCTAAGATTAGACACAGTCGGACATTTCATTTGTCCACGCTCAGCTTCCGGCTCCTTCGACAAACAATTTGCATTTCTCTCGTACTGCAACCAATCGGAAATATTGCGTGAACGCTGCTTGCATATTGACACTTTCCCAAACTGGGAACATTGTGAAGATGTGTACCTTAAATCACGATGGCAAGGGTACTGCACTAGCGATCGCGGAAGCTTCGCTCATATTCCGCATCTTGCTAAATTGTTGACAATGCTGACCAGAGTGTATACAAATCGTCAACTTCACGATAGTCAAACATTCAGACTGTGAGTCGGACCAAGATGCGTCCACTACATGATTCTGAGGTACAGTAACACAGAGGATGCAAACCTTATAAGAATTTTGAGCCTCAACCAAAAATCATCATTCTGCATTCAAACTCAAGCTGAACGTTCCTAGCCCCCATCTTTTCGATCTGTCACCACCATATTGCCATCTTGCATGCGGCTCAGATAAGATTCTGACGCCAGCATCCCTACCGCATCACCCTGCATACTCGCCGCATTACCTACAGGTTTTGTCAACGGGAACGTGTTTCGAGCGCCACAGTATCTAAATAGGGGGGCCGTTCACTCCATTGAACCCCAGTCACTCCACATTCCCAGCAGTCCACGTGCAGTAGACCGTCCTGTAGGGTGATCCGACTTATTCAATCTGCTCGAAAGGTTTGCGCTTGGGCCTCAACTGCATCATACCAAGCCGCCCAATTTGAGCCACAGGATAGTCCACTGCTTATGGCAACGTAGTCGACTACTAAACTTCTATTTCGACAACTTCGGTCTCAAGAAGAAGACCCTCAGGACTGCAATATCGGGGGCTACAAAGTAGACTTCGAGAGATATAAGAACGCCATCGATGTCAGTGAGGAACGGCATACCCACAACAGCCTCAACAGCTACAACAACAGCGAAACAAAAATCATCTCAAGCCTCCAACGATACACAAACCTCTTCGAATTCAAGCAATCAACCTTCCAGGAGTCTTTCTTCATCAAACGGCTCAAGACCTACGAGCACTCGCAGCACACCAGATCCATCGACTCAATCAACAACCTCCCATCCTACTCGAGAAGCTTCAGTCGAGCCTCTGGTCGGCACTGGTCAACGAACTTCAACCGCAACTCCAAATCTCACAATTACTATCACCGGTCTACAACCTTCTCGAAACGGCCATCGCTCAATAGCCATGTCTTCCTCCTCTTCCACCCCTAGCAGCACTTCCACCGCCGGCTCCTCTTCTGGATCTGGAGGCTACACACAGCTTCCGTACGCGCCTTTTCCGTATCCCATGCCTGCTAACCCTCGCGGCTCAGGATCGGGCAACGGAAAATAGATGTCGTGCATCTTTTCGATGTTGAGGTATCGACTTTGGTGGCATTCGTGGCGTTCTATGGTAGATGGGTTCGATCACTCGACAACGGCATGAGTTGCATTTACGTGGCGTAAATATAGATGGGGTTTCACACTCGTTTGTTTCTCTATTCATTTGGTTTTTTTGGTTGCCCTGCATTTGCTGGTCGCTCATTGCATTTCCACGGTAGGGTTTCAGTCCGTCTTTCGCTTTGCTTAGCATTAGTGGCGTTGGCATACAGGTCTTGCTCTTATACACTCCACTCGCTCATCCAATATAGTACATCTCTTTTATCTTCAGTGCCCGTTTCTCTGATATCCTGACAGCTGCGCTTGACGGTCACTTCGCCAAGCGCTGACATCACCTTTTATTCTCTCGCTTTGCGTTAGTCCATCATGACATGATCAGATTAGATCTCGTTTACGATGAAATGTTATTAGTTCTGCACTCCACATCTCCACACCATATAGTTGGGCCTATTCTTAGCCATGCAGTACATGACTCGCCATGCATGAGCACAGTCGACGTCTAATTGAGACGGGCCATTACGGTGCCGAAATTGAGACGATACCAAAGAAGACGTTGATAGTTGCTGAAGGCTACAAGATGTGAAAGGCGGTGAACACAACAAGGTCACATATCTGGGACAGAGAGCCCCGTGGTGACATTTAGTTTTGACCTTGACTGATGTGCTACGAGATCGTAGATATATCTTACCTACACAAATTGACGATTACGATGTCTGGACCCTCGAAAAAATTCCTCACATATGTTGGCGCCTTTGTGCCTCGATGTTGAGACATATATGCGGTCTGAGATTGAGTGCAGTCATGCGGACAAGTTCAGAATCTAGCAACGCCCATGTTGGCTTTGGAGCATACGGACGATCAAAGGGTGATCTCTGCTATTTCACTTGAGATTGTTCGGTTTCAGGCTTGCTTGTCGTAGGGTTCGCTGCAAGTGAGACAGGAGACAGAACGGAGGAATTTGGAGTGGTTGGATCTTACATAAGCACGCACGTGCCAAGCGGTGACGATCATCATCGGGCCAACTTTATGCAGCTGCGCAACCAGCACTCCCACGCGACAACACTGCTCTCGTGCCACTGCAACGTCGTGCATTCTTTTGTTCTCTTCTCTTGCGTTCACGTTGTATTGCGCAATCCCTTTCACGCTACGTCCCTGCACCTTCTTCCTTCTTCAACTTTACACCTAGACTTCCACCGAAGCCTTTGAACTACTAGCCTCCCCCGTATTCACCTATCCATCCGCATTACACATCAGCCATCATGGCGCCTTCACGATCACAAACTTCGCTTCTCTCTCTACTCGTCGCCACCTCGCTCCTCCCGCTACAAGCATGGGCCTCTTTCGAGTGCAAAGATATGGCGACACAAGGCACCCACTTTAACTTCGAGAAGCTCGGCGGACCGCACATAGTACACTGGAAGGAAGAAGATGTAGAGCACGATATGGAGTACAAATACAACTTCACTCTCGACCTCTGCAGCCCACTAAAGTCAGAGTGCCATAACGGCGCACAAGTCTGCGGTATACGTGAGAACGTCGATCTATCGCAGGAGGGCAACTCGACAATCACGCCGATTGATATCGCTGGAACCTACACGTCCTACAACGGTCGTACTATCGATGCCAAGTACGAGTTACTGCGCAATTCGAAGTCAAACTCGGACTCTGGCCGAGAAGGACTAAGGACTATCCTCCATGGAGGCCGACTACCATTCGACGACAAGAAGAACGGGTTAGACCAGCGCGCTATCATTGAATTTGTGTGCGATAAGGAGCGAACCGGTCTTGAGGGCGATGAGACAGACGGCGGCAAGTCTGGCAGCGACAAGGAGGACGATAAGAAAGATGATAAGAAGGATGAGGATAAGAAAGAGGAGGAGAAGCAGATCAGCAGGAGAGAAGGGGCCAGCAAGGATCAGTGCGAGGACAGCGACGCTAGCCTGCGCTTTTGCGGGTACAAGGTCGAGGACCTGGAGAAGGATAAGAAGGCGAGAACACTGAGGCTGGAGTGGCGCACCAAGTATGCGTGTGAGGATGCGCCAGCAGATAAGCCAGCAAGCTCGCACTGGGGCTTCTTTGGGTGGTTCTTCATTATGTGAGTCAGCTTTCACACCATACTTGCGAGCATATATTAACGTTTACAGTGTTTTCCTCTCGATCGCGGCTTATCTCGTCTTCGGCTCGTGGCTCAACTACAACCGTTACGGTGCTCGTGGCTGGGACTTGCTTCCTCACGGCGACACTATCCGCGACGTACCTTACATTGCGAAGGACTTCGGGCGCAAGATCTTCCAGACCGTGCAGGGTAGCGGGAGTAGGGGTGGTTACGCCGCTGTCTGAGCGTTGCGTCCTTGATTATTGCAACAATTTCCTTTTGGGGTTGCATTGGGGATGGGTTAGGAGTACGGGAGGGCGTTGTAGGATAAGAGGAGGAACAAGCGTTAAGTTTGTCTGATCAGAGGTCCTACCGTTTTGGCGGACCTGCTTTACCTAGACTTCGAGCGCTGATATATCGTTAGTGCGTTATAGTGCACATGTATACATTTTCTCCCTACTTTCGAACTATTCGACTATACAATGGTTGCGGCCTGGTTGACCGGGGTGTTTGCTTCAGAAACTTGAAGACGTGATCCTCTGAAGCCTTGCTGTCTCCCCAGGTATAAGTATGCGGCCGGCAACTTTCCTCTCGCTTTGCCAACGTCTGCTCTCCGACTTCGAAAATCACAAGCAATGACCAGACATGTTCTGCCGGCCACCACCGTGTTCTCTAAAATCCTTCGATCCGACTAGCGATGTCTTTCTCGGCTCGTTTGCAACACCAAGAAGGGTTGAACTCCCTGACATGCTCCTGTCTTGCTCTGCCTGGAAAGAGACGGAGCCTCAGCATTTGGAGCAATTGTTGATATCGAAAATTATCATTGTGAATTCTCCTAGAGTTTCTCTTCGTATTCGACATCCAAGATGATATTGAAAGAGTATATGTCTGCACCAAGTTTCTTTGAATGAAGCATACCGAGCATCTTTTCCAAAAGTTAAGCCTTATGTCATATGCTAATCTCAAGGCTCTCTCTCTACACGGATATGAGGCATCGATCACCTCTCCCGCTTTTTGTTGGATTGTCGCTGCCCTCATTCCGCCTTCCTCCATAATGGTGTTCTTCTCCTTCTTCGGCGCTATCTCTTCTCAATCTTATAAAGAGCTATCTGAGCTCTACGAGAATCCTGTCCTTCTTTCATAATCTTCTCCGTTCCATGACCAGGCTTTGGCAGAGTATAGCCAGCCTGCATTTCTGTCTCGTACTATCTGCTGAACACAGTTGGCGACGATGATAGGAACACACCCTTTCATGGGTGTGACCTCCATGGATCACAATGATTGTACCATTGAAGAGCCGATAGCATTTCCAGAAATACGCAGCCAAGGGCCAAACATCTGCAGATGCGTTGCGGCTCATGAAAGCCGCAACCTCTGGTGAACAGTAACGTGGTGACGCGGGCGTGGATCCAGAAGTAGTATCCAGAAAATTGTGGGAGAGGCCGAAGTCAGCAAGAAAGTTAGCCTTGCGCACAAAAAATGTTGTGAGGTTTGATACCTCTGTGCTTCAAGTTGTCGTGAAGATAGGAAAGCGCACTTGCTAGGTATCCGAAGAAGGTGTGCAGGGTCGGATGATGCTCTAGTTCTGTACACGTACGCTGAAGGAACGTCTTGAGATTGCAATCAGCAATGGGACTCATGACATGCTCACATCGTGACAGAAGTACACGAATATCCTCAATTTCGTTATCGGTACATGATGTACGAGGCTGAGAGATGTCAAAGAACGTTGCGAGATGATCCTCCGGAATAGAGGATCGGGGTCTGGACATCCCTAGCTTCTTCCGCTGCGCGGCGCTTCATTACACGGAATGGATATGGGACGTAATGGCAGACGTGGAACTAAGGATTTCGATGTGAGAATACAACCTGGGGTAGGGCGTAAGCTCCAGGCGTGCAATAACTCGTGTCAGATCATTCTGATGAGGTACTCTGCTGAACACCATCCCATGCCTCGACCCACCCACCATCACACCTACCATAAGTCAATCAAATCTTAAGCTTTCTCAATGATTATTAATGAAATTGAAAGCCCTTGAACCCCTGAACAAGATGGTATACTCAAATGTCCAGATACTAAGAGTGTGCGCACTACTTCTGGCATGTAGATCACTGCCAAAAGGGGGAGACTATGGCTGATGTCAGCGCATGCACAGGGAGAGGTAGATACATGAGAGGAGTTACTTTGGTGACACTTGACGTGTATCATGGCTTATTACTAAACACCCAGCACAGTCTCCTGATCTCAACCCTCAAGGTATATGATTGATACTCAAACAGAAGGTTAAGAGAAGGATCAGATTCCCTGGCAGAGGCTAGAGACTATGGGATGGTACAAAGAAGATGCTAAAAAGACTCCTACTCTGGGCTTGGGATGAGGTTACTATGAAACAGATCAGGAGATGCATTGCTGAGATGCCTGGAAGATGTGTTCAACTCAGGAATAGTGGTGGTGAGAGTCAGTTGTAATTTGGGGCCAGTGCAATGCAGGAGAATCTCAGATCCCCGCCCTTCTCAGCCTCGATCCTCATCAGCCTTCCCAAGCCCTTCTCGAGCGCTGCAGGGCTAAGCACATCCTCGTCGTTCTCCAATGCGCCGCGGTCCAGGGGACCCTTTCGGTCGCCCTCGAGTTCCCACAAATGCCCGTCTTTGCTCTTGACGAAGGTAACAAAGTGCTGCCCAGCATGCTCATTTGAAGTTGGTGTAGGAGCTGCCGTATCGCCAAGCTGCGCCGCTTCTGCATGAGCCTTTTCGAACGCTTCTGAGTCCTCCAGTACTTTCGCTCGTTCCAACATCGACTTTGGCAGAGCTTCCTCGCGAATCTGATCGAGCGTAGAACCAGACTTGATGTGTTTCGATGCTTCGCTATTCAGCAAGCTGTGCACAAGGCCAATCGAGCCACAAGCGTTGCCAATCGTTTGCTTGAACCAGATCACCGGTTCGTCCTCACCCTTGCCTTCGTAATCTCCCTTGTCCTTGTCCTCCATTGTTCGAGCGTCATGCCAGGTCGGTGTGAGTGGGATGATAACGAGCAATGCGTAGACTGGTCGTGGTATGAAGGCAAGCAGGTCTGGGTCTGTGAGCGAGTATATGTCGTAGAATGAGAGACTGCCATCCATGCCAAGGGCTTCGGCAAGGTGATTCATAACCTCAGGATTGTTCTCGAGCATGACAAAGAGCTTGTTTGCCATGTTGATCGCGGTTGTGGGGGTATTCAGTTCGTTTCCAGGTGCTGCGCGTGCTGGAGGAGTTGTTGTGATGGCTCTGTTGTGTCAGCGTCGAAAGAAGGGTCAGTCGTGATGAATTAGATCGATCTTGTATCAGCTTGGAGGCCTTCAGTGTATTTTTCAGATTCGAGGTACTTGTTGACAGATAGCAGGGCGTGCTGTTGTTGATACCCCGGAACCTCAGTGGGAAAGCGCGAACTTCCCCGCACTAGCCGCCATTAGTGACCTGAAGTGGAGCATTCACTCGAGGGTAGCTTTCACTTTGCGCTTTCATAATGTCTATGCCTCTTGCCTACTGCGCATGAACATGCTCTTAATACTCCTTTCCTTGAAGTGCGGCCACCTTTATATATCTCACTGTGAACATTCAGACTATGATCATTCTTGGAATGCTATTATCGAGAAGTCTGGTAACACGGCCGGCTCTCCGCATCATGTAGCTCAGCTCTAGCTCATGTATATAAGCCTACATCTTCCAGTCTCTACTGCAATTCAGGCACTTATCTTCCCTCATCTGCACAGCTTCTGTCTCTTACACACAGCTTATACCAAGCACATTGACAAACACAACTACCACCATGGACGACGAAGCACGGCAGGCCCTTGCCAACATGAAGATGCCGCGTAGGCCTATCAACTTCGTCCCCGCAAAAGAAGGAGAGATACTAAAGCTGGGACACATCACATGTCGAATCATGGAAGACGGCTCAAGAACGGGTACGCCTCCACAACTCCCCTCACACTACATCCAACTAACACAAAATCCAGACAATAGAATCGGCAGCGCCGAATTCACCCTACCTCCCAATACCGCCGGCCCACCCGCCCACTGGCACGAAATGCACGACGAGACCTTTCTCGTCACGCAAGGCGTCGTTCGCTTCCACGCGCCCGACGGTGCCTACCACGACGCACACGTGGGCGACTACATCACCGTGCCGATCCGGGCACCACACACCTTTTCGAACCCGACAGATCAGGAGGCGAAGTTCTTTAATACGTTTACGCCGGCATTTTATATTGATTATTTTAAGATCCTGGCGGAAGTTAGCAGGAGCGATGAGAAGATGAGTAAGGAGAAGAATTTGGAGGTTATGGCGAGGTTTGCGACGATGCCGGCGAATGAGATGCTGAAGGAGATGAATGGGGGGCAGAAGTAGGGTTGCTGGATGGCATGAAATGGCAACATTGAAGGGAAGATTGGAATGCTAAGTAATAAGTGCTAGAAAGGATGTACGCAGAACGCCAGTGAATGCAGATACTACAGGTTCAACGTCTCGAGCAGGCCAGCCGCATTCTACACGCCAACGAGTTACAGGATGTCGAACCGCCGAAGTAGTGCGTCAATTTACTCCACTGCTCCTGGAAGTCATTCTTCCTCTGCCTCGCCCTCTTCTGCCGGCCTGCAAGTTCTGCACTCCCGGTATAGCATCCCGCAGAACTCCCTGACTGTCTGTTCTGGGCCCCCATCAAGCCCCACGTTATGTTCCTTCATGCAATACCATGTCCAAGCTCCCTTATTCGCCTCATCTTTCTCGAGGTAATTCTCGCCTGGACTCCATGTGTCAAGACTGAAAGTGATCTTATCCAGCATGGGCCCTGTAGGGCAGTCGGAAAGTGCGGTGCCGATATTCTTGAATGACTGGCTAGAGTGGTACCATATCCATAGGGGGTTCCAAAGTGGGTCGCCGATGGCTTTCGCGTTGAGCGTGAGGTGCGTGCAGGATTCGAGGAGACTGAGCTCAAAACGAATACGTGCTGCGAGATCCCAGGAAGAGGATGCCATGTTGCGCGGGTCTATGCACCCGAGCATTGCGCTGGTGGTAACTATTTGGAGGGAGGCTTTGTGAATGTTTTTGAATGTTGAAGGAGCGATGCTCCAGATCTTGTCATCCTTGGCGGAGGGTTGGTAGTTCTCCGGGGAAACGGTAAGGTTGAAGGTGCCTTGCTTGCAGAGCATGTCCATATACTCGGTGTAAATCTGCTTGTTGACGAGAAATATCCAATTGCTGGGTTTCGGTGCTTGTGTCGGGTTTCGTAAATTTGTAGCAGATTCCCAAAGTCCTGCGAGCATCCCATTCAGCGACGATGCAGGCTGAGGTATAGCAGGTGAGGGGTAGGAGACATCTTCCAAAAGGTTCTTGTAGACCATGTCACGCAACTCTTGCGGTAGCGACTCGAAAGGAAATGGTTTGGCGTTGTTGATTTGCATCTTTCGTACTCGTTGAAAGGCTCGATACAGAAGGCAGAGGAGGGTGTCTACGAGTATGATGATGGTCGAGGTAAGAAGACTGGTAACAATCCCAAATAGGAGATCGTAATTGCATAAGGACTGTAGCCCACCTCTTATCGTGGCATCACGGGGAGCCCAAAGCTGTTTGTTGTGTACAGTCTTGTCCATGGTGCCGGGCTGGAGTCCAATTCCGGACAATACCTGCAGGTCCGGCCCAGTACACTGTTCTTTACGACGCTCCAACTGTGTAAATCCAAGCACGCGGCCTTCGATACTGCGTGCAACCCGTATGCAATGTCCGGTCGATGATTTGCGGCCTCAATGTTCGGGTTACAGGGTGCTCAGGCCGCGGGGTCCGAGTTGAGACGCTGAAGAATGATGGAGACGAAAGATATGCGCACAACTGTACTAAGCAGTGATGAGGAACAGGAGAGGTGTATGTGATGCGTGAGAGACAGATGTGCGGCTACGATGTCAATAAAATGGTGCCTTGCACTGCCCGAAAGAGGCAGCCTGAAACGGCAGTGCGCACAACACAGCCACACTGGTCAATCATTGTGATATTCCCGGCAAGGACTGCTACAGCCGCAGTGATCACTTATAAGGCTTTACAAACATCGTGTTGAGCTACATCATGCTCTGGATGCATTTGTTCGTATGCTGCGCAAGAGGACTGCGGAGGTGGATGGAAGGTACCTGCACAGTGCGCGAACTCCGAACATTGTCCGCGATCGCCGCTTCATCAACATTACACGAACACCACAACACCACAACACCACACGTCCGTGTCTTTCGTGGACTGAGGCTTCACCAAATGACTCGGATTGGAAGATTTGTACAAGGACAAAAGGTTTTGTGTTTTGTGAAGTGTGTACAAGCAGTTATGTTGTGCTTCCAGGGCTCAGAAACTGATCGCAGAGAGATTGCGTACCACTCGTCACTGCCTTAACACGCTCCGCGTTAGCCTCTACTATTCGATTCAAACCAAAAAAGATCCAACTCTCGAATCGATATGACGGGTGTGCGGAGACCTGTTTGCATAATCGAACGTGTGGAATTGTGCAAAGAACGGACTTACGGTGTGCCGTAAAACGTGAGGAAACCTACTGACGGCGCGGTGGTGGCTTTGTATTTTCGATGCTTGGCCATGTACCATGGGTCTGCTTCAGTGCGTAGCGAATTTGATACCGCTTCGATGACAACTCTGAGTAATGCACTTTGCATTGTTTGCTGCTGCGTAAAGCGCTGATGGAGGATCGTTACCTTTTGTACCTTGCCATCATTAATTGCATCTCGTTGATCACTCTTTCCGCTCTCACGGGTGCCGTATTATCAAATTCCAATATTAATGCGCAAGACGTACAACCGAACGAATCTTCTGTAAATACTTGACAAGTTAGACAAGCGGCTTAGGTCGTGGAGACAAAGGTGCTTTGTTTCCGTGGTCAAACGTCATACCAACACCTTTATTAAACATCTAGCTCAGAGCGCTTCGAAAGGTATTGCATGGCACACCAAGGAAGCTAGTCATGCTTGTATTTGTACATACCACGCCTGTAGTTCACAATGCTTTCTGGTGAGATCTGCATCCGATGCACTTGCAAGTGTCGCTCATACTGCCTTCTACAACTACTAGCGCGTCTACTCCTAAGGCATTCAAGAGTTGTGTAAGTACCCTCGAACCTGCGGAAACAATATTTGAACCGTTTACTACGCCCGAGCCTCTGTGTAAACCATAAAAGCTGGTTGGCTTGACCTCTTCCTCCGACTCTCCAGGTAACCATCACTGGTTTGAAAAAGCAGAGTGGATAATCAGAGGAGACTTGTGCATCCAACGGAGCCCAGAACAGAATGGCCTGCGGTATGTCCATCATGAAGATACTTCATAGCGGTACTCACCACTCAGGGGCCGACATCCCTGCTCCAACTTTGGGTGGCGATGCGTGATGTGTGATGTGTGATGTGCCCTAAAAACCATCGACAACCTCCAGGCCACCTTTCCTAACTTCCCATTATCTCATTGCCCCATCTTCTCGTGCCAATCAATGCCCACCCTGAATCCATCTGCCCGTCCTTGCCAACTTCCCATCTTCCCATCTTCCTATTCTCACCACTTCGCTTCCACTCCCGCACATTTCACTCCCACTCCAGACCACTGCCAACTATACACCTCGCAAATTTGCAATTCAAAATCGCCACTCAGCATAAAACATACCGATCTAGCGACCGCCAAGGCTTCATTCTTCTCAGACGTACGATCAACCACTTTGGTCTCACCCCGCGGCCCTACCGACCGGTTCACGTCGTTACTCGATGTCCACTACACAAAACCTACAAGACTTCAGGCACACCCTGATTTCTTCAATGAAGCAAGGATCGACGACTACATTGCGCATCGCTGATACAGCTGATGGACACAACCCGTTGAGCCCGGAGAACTGGTTCTCTGGGGCAAGGAATATCATACTACGAGATCAGGGCGTAGGGTAAGAGCCAGAAGGCTCTGACATCACGGCTAGATGCCGAGCTGTACAGTACGATGTCGTGTTGGAGGACAGGAAAGCTGCAGGTGTGGTGGTTGAGCCCTGTCATCGATGGCGGTCTCTGATTGGCTAGGCTGTGCCGCCTTACCAACCGGGCTGTGACGCCATGTTCGACAATTCCTCCCATGCCTCAACACCAACACAGCCTATCGCCGACCAGTAGCTGCACGATGTTTTGGCCCTACCCATGAGAAAGTACGCCTTGATCGTTCGCTTACCTACTACCAAACCACGCCATGCCGGACGAAGACGACTTGTTAGTCGTTGCCCCTAGTGGCGACCTCATTCTCGATGTGTCACAGGAAGAGGGCAGCCAGCAGTACTGCTACAGAGTGGTCTCGAAGACCCTACAGCAGAACTCGAGATACTTTGAGAACCTCCTGAGCGCACGCTTCAGCGAAGGCCAGAAGCTTGCAGCAGCCCTTAAGGGTCTCAAGCTCGCGGGGCACGCGAGCCTCGAAGATGCGCCTATAGAGAGCCTACCCCGGATACCGATTGTCAATGCAGGCCGAATTGCCATTTCCAAGGTATCTTCGATACGGAACCTCGTTGCAGACTTCTTACGCGCCATCCATGGCCTCGACCTCGCCGTTGCCAATCCGCCTGTCGCGAATATCGCCAACTTAGCCGTTGTCGCTGATCGATTTGATGCCGTCGAGTGTGTGGCAAAATATGTTCAGAGGAAGAAGTTCCTACAAATGACGGAAGCGAAGTCGAAAGGACGAACAAGCCCGGCTCTGACGGAAGAAAGGGTACGCCAGAAGCTCTTGATCGGCCTACTTCTCGACTACCCACCGTGGGTCACACGCTACTCGAAACACTTGATCATGCGCGATTCGGTACAGTGGGGTCCAGACGTCGAGGAGGATCATACGAAGGCATTGTGGTGGGACATACCGAACGGCGTAGAAGACGAGATGATACAGCGGAGAGAGCACATATTGGAGACTATCAACTCTCTGCAGGCGCATTTCCTAAGGCTTTATACGTCAGGAGACCGGCAGTGCAAATTGGGCTACGACACGTCGCTGCAGTGTGACTCTTTCCAGCTAGGAGAGATGATCCGCTTCTTCACCAAGATCGACACTTTGCACATGCAAGGCAAGATCTACGATAATACCGAGCCAACATACTATCAAGGAGATATCGAGCGTCTATTGTCCACGCTTCGCCAGACTTCGAGTTACCAAGTCGACAGCAACCATGCCCATTGCGGTCTTCGGGTGCGGCTCATGCCTTTGCTCGATCTATTGCAGGACCACTTAAGCCTCAGCACTGGCAACTCAGACATCGGCATCTGCGGCGACTGCTGGGCGGCGCACCGCTCAGAGTACGCCTGGAGTTTGGCCAAGCGCCCCGTTCTGTGGACAGTCCCGCGACACCTCAGCACTACTCGAGCACCCATTACGAATGGAACAGCGAAGAGGCAGCAGAATATGTTAGGTGGATGTCTCGGCAGGCATCTGGCGGTGAGGGACCTTTTTATGGCTGTTGAAAGAAATTGGACAGATGGACAAGTTAGTGGTCCTGCGTTGGGCTGGGCAAATATGAGCCTCAGCTTAGACCCGAGGATTACGGGGAGACGGTGAGGGCGATCGCAGAGCCTCATGATGAGCTTGTTTAGACGTCACTCGGGTCCTGTGTTGCCCTGGTTATGGGCACTAGGCTATCGTTTCCCACCGCGGTAGGGCTGAATGGCGGTGATTGTTGTGGTTAGCAGGCCAAGCTGTTTCAAATCTGAGGCTCAACTTGAGCCTCAAGTGGCACCTTTGGTTCACCCGCGAGCGCTTTCGAGAGAGTTCTCGAATAGTTCGAAAAGGATTCCAGAACTATTCCATGTGTGAGGCCAATGCTTAGTTATGTCTTGGTCTGATGACGCCAGCATTGGCTGTAGACTGACTGTACCATAGTATTGCTTGCTAGCTGAAGGAAGACTACTGCAAGCACTGACCAAGTACATTTTCGCTCTCACAGTGTAATCGTTCGTCTCTTACAAGACTTGCGTTTACACGCACCATTGATTTTGCAGTTCACTAGAGTTCTCTAGCGCTGCATTCTGTGTGGCCCCAGTTGCATTCAGCCGTGGGCTGTGCGCATGACTGACCCCTGCTGCGCCTTTGCCCTAACTGCACAGCCTCGTCCACAACCGACACAGTCGGAAATGTAGCTGGCAACCTTATGAGGCATGGTAGTGGACCCAGGAAAGTGCCATATCACTCAAGCACGGCACATCACACGGCTGGTTGCAGCATATCAAAATGCGAAGTCGGGGCTGACACGAGGCAGAGCGCAGGCAATAATGGTCTTTGCCGGAGCTTTAGGAGGATGGTGTATAAGAAACCTTTGAGCCATGGTAATTTGTCTTTCACTTACCAAAGAATCTTGGGTCCAAGCAACAACTACCTCATAGGTCCTTACCTTGAGCTTGGTCGCGTGCCGTTTGTTCCTACCGCAAGCACATAAGCGCATTTGATCTTCTCCCAATGTCTGGCTTCCACTCTGGTTTCTACAACAATCCATACAACAACGAACATCACGAATATCGACCATCATACACTACAATGTTCGGCAGTCTGAAGAAGAAGCTCTCACGGCGGTCCTCAAATCCCGTCACTGACACACACGCCGCTCACTCAGCTAAAAGCACGGGGTCTCGAAGTTCAGGTCTTACACCCCCGCCCTTCAGCAATCCGCACTCGTCAGCATCACCTGCAACGCGCAGACCAAGTAAGCGCCGCAAACAGTCACTGTGCATGAAGTGCGTCTCAGCGGACATGACTGACACATATTAGCCAGCGCCAACATGAACCCTTTCAGGAGTCAAGGCGACGCACCGCCCGCTTACACTCCAGGACCAGCCCAGAACTTGCAACCCACTATGGACACACCAAGATCAACCTCCACTGCAGACGATCAGTACGCATTTTTGAAGTCTTTTGACACCATCTTCCTAATCGATGACTCTGGATCTATGGCCGGCCGCTCATGGCGAGAGACCGGTAAGGCTCTCGAGACCATAACACCAATTTGCACAGAGCGCGACGCCGACGGCATTGACATTTTCTTCCTGAACCACCCAGACTCATCGCTCTACAAGAACGTCACCACCGCAGGCACCGTTATCGAGATCTTCCAGACCGTGCGACCCGGCGGCGCAACACCCACCGGCCAGCGCCTCCAGAAGATCCTCAAGCCTTACCTGCAACGCTACGAGAAGAATCCCGAGACCACCAAGCCCATCAACGTCATTGTCATTACCGACGGTGAGCCATCAGACGACGTCGAGGCACCCATCATCGCATGTGCGAAGAAGCTCGATAAGCTCGAGGCGCCAGCGTGGCAGGTCGGTATCCAGTTCTTTCAAGTTGGCAATGAGGCCGGCGCACGTGAGGCGCTGAAGCAGCTCGATGACGGACTGCGTGAGGCTTCTGGCGATGATGAGCTCAGGGATATTGTGGATACTGTGCCGTTCATGGGTGATGACGATGCAGAGCTGACAGGACATGGAGTGCTTAAGGTTGTTTGTGGTGCGATTCACAGAAAGCTAGATAGGCAAACGAAGGGCCTTCACCAGAAGCGCCCAGAGGCCTAGCTCTAGTCTTCATCTATATCTTGATCTGCCCTTCTTGCGTTCCGCAGTACCATAGAAGTCTGGACGGTGACCAAAGGGAAGGTGTGGTCGGGCGGTCAATCGTGGTTGCTCCTTCCAGCACAATGCTGCCCACCTCTCATCTCGAGTCGGTGAATTGCAAGCTGGACAGGCAGTCTAAGGAGCTGCATCGCAAGCAGCATCTCTAGGCCCGGTAACATCATACGTTCTTTAGGCGTTCGTTGGATGTACAAAGGCGTAAGGCGCAATTTCTACTTTGAGAAGGTGGGCTTGGTTTCATGCATCGGACGGCGTTTCGGTGAACAGCCTAGTCATGATACCCCTTTCTGCCTGTATGGCGCACTGACTTGGGCAATGGGTGGTATTCTGTTTCCGACAGCGTTATAGATATACGAAGTGACGGCCGGTCACGAGTGCATATTAATTTCATTCTTGATCAGAAGTCCCATCGACGACAATCTATTGGTATCTACGCGGCACAAGTGATGAGATGACAGTATTACCGACATGCATACCGAAGGATCTCCCGTGGACCCGTGGTCTGCCTAAGGCAGACTCGCCCTCTACCGGTCTTTGGAGTCTCGCACACAACGCGATAGCGCATTTCGGTGGCTACAGCATGCTCGGGACCCGCGACACTTTGCGCTCCACTCCCCTTCTACACATCGCGCTCAACTCCGCCTCGACCTCCCACTACTCTGACTCCCTGAACTTTCCCCTCCCCTTGGTGAGCTACCCCCAGAACCACTCAATCTCATCCCTCATCCACTCATCCCCGACAATCGCCTGCCCACCCCTCGTGTCGAAAAACACTTCCGAATTCCTTGCCCTTTTTTTTATTCAGTTTCTTTGTACGCAGCTTTCCACGTTCGTCGACGTAGCTGGTGGATTTTTCTCGCCCTGGTGGTGTTGGTGTAAATTAATTTGCTGGAATAAGGGAAGGTGGGGGGAAAGAAGGGGGGAAAGGGCATACGCCTATTGCCCAGAGGATTTGCTTTTCGGGGTTCATCATGTTGTAGTAGAAGGGCTTTGCGGGTTGAACGGTGAACCAGCGGAGGTGGAACATCTCAACTTAACGATGTATCTTTGGAAGTTGTGACTTCGAGGGATGTAGGCTCGTATGCTGGTGAACCTTGAGTGATTGAAATGTTGTCTTCAACTAAGAAAAATTTCTGAAGTTGGGCTGGGGGTGCGTTCAACGTTGTTAAAACACGGAAGAAGTAGGCATGGAAGCAATATTTATCGTCACGTTGGATTATTTCACTGCAAACTTTGGATATCAACTGCGGTTCGTGAAGGACAAACTTCTCCGTTACACAGCAATAGCTGTGCTTGTAAGCCCAGCTCTTCCTGCGCGCTGAAGTCAACAACGGCTTCATCAAGCCCGATAGTCGATCAAACTCAGCGCCTGTAAATCATTGGCGAATCTTGACCGATTCGCAAGTGCGGACTGGCTGTTGTAGTCCATCTGTACACACTCGCAAAAAATAGGGAGTTGTTTTTCTTCTTGGCTATTGATCGATTGTACAGCTGCACAACAGCATCAACGAGAGCACCTCTGAAGTCCGCATCTTGGAGATATTCGCCTGTCTGGTAGCATGTCAACCAATGTCGCCACTCTAAAGTCTTGATCGGACCTGGGACTTGATTTCGTTTTGGCAGAACCTCGTCCACCGTACCTCTCAGGTACAAATGCCCGGTGTACACCCACTTCGCGTATGTAGCGAAACCTTCTGTGTCTACCTCGGGAAGATTGATGCTGCCGAATGCTCCTTCCTTCCAGCGTTCGCGTAAAGCGGTGTCGAAGAACTTTGAGCTTGAGCGCAGCACATCTTCGCGTATGGATAAGGCGTCCCCAAATCCAATAGGAACCTCGATATCGTAGTCTTCGTCACCTTCGTTGGCACTCTCGTACCCGTAGTCGCTGTTGTCTTCGTAACCACTGTCTTCCTCGATATCATCGTCTAGCAGAAACCGGAGTTGCGACGTGTCGTCATAGTCCTTGTTATTCTCTTCGTATTCTTCTGTGCGGTCGCTTTGGTAACCCAAGCCCTCTTCGAAGCCATGCTCATACTCGTCTTCCTCCGGTCATGCTCCTGGTATTCGACAGGGTTGTGTGGTATCTTCGTCTTCGTCCACATCCACGTCGCTGCTTCTCTCTGTATCGTATACAAGATTGGTATCAGGTTCCGGCGCGCGGCCTACACGAATGGTGATGAGCTTGCATTTCAGACTGTGCCAGGTCAGACGTGGTTTAATTTTGTATGGCACGCCGCGCAATTCTTCTTGTTCCAGCTTGGACGTGAAGTATTTGGAGCTGGAGAGAAGGCACGGGTAGATGTGGAAGGACGTGCTGCCTTGGATGATGACTGTGACAGGCGCAATTTCTGTGATAAACTCCTGTTAGTAAGGTAATTGCCAGATGAAGCATTTTATGCTTACAAGTGCGTTTCGCCTTCATCGCGATTTTGGTTAGGCTCGAAGGAGGGAAGAGCAAGCAGGCCTGGGAAGGCTTCGACTGCGGTGCGCTTGTGAGATGTGTTGGAGGGCATCCTGTGTTGCTTGATGTGAATTTTGAGTTCGATGAGATTACCTGATTGTGTGTGGTTGGAGGTTTGAATGTCGAGAAATCTCGAAGTGCAGCATGAATTTGTTGCAATATATCACCTGGAAGTCGAACCGTAGCGCCATTCCTAACGAGCTAAACAATGAAGTCTATACTCAACGAACAATATTTTGGGATGCATCAGGGTCTGTGCACCCGATGTTTGGGAGTATAAAGGACAGACTGGCAGCAACTTATTCGGCTCCAGTCCAGGTTTTGATCATCATTCAGCGCTTAGATACCCGAACGCATCGGATGACGACGACAATGAAGAAGAAGAAGAAGAAGAAGAAGAAGAAGAAGAAGGGGTAGTGATAGATTGAATTTAAATGAGAACTAAATTGTGAGGCTAGGGATAGTCGACGAATGAAACTTCTCGTCGGTATAAAAATCTGTCACGGTTTGGGGTGCTCCTGCCTGTCGTACCTCACCTCCATGAGAGTGACCGCCACATCACACTAGCGTTGTTTACAGCTACTCACCTATATATACTGTTCGTAGCTTCACTCAATACAACCTCAGTACAATCTTCAAATTCTTCCCTTTGCGTACAGTTCTTCACTGAACTCTGACAAAATCCCACCCGAAGATCATGCGGCGTGTAGAAAACGATGAGCCGAGAAAATGTTGGATTAGGTGTAAAGATGTCCGCTTCTCATGCAAAGCGCTGATCACCTTGAGTCGGTGCCTGGTTTGGCGTAAATGACAATAAATTCACTCTTGGACGTCGATGTGGTAAGACGAACGTCAGATGTAAGAAGACTGCTACTTCAGCACAAGATCCTCGGAGATGAACTCGGTATGACTTACAGAAGGATTTCGTAACCTAGCAATTGATTTCGCGCTTTTGCTTGTAACAAGTAGCCTTGCTTGTCGCCGTCTTCCACACTCGCACTGTCCTGTCGTAGGATGCTGAGGCGACCAGCTGGCCGTCTGCCGAGAACACTACAGCGTTGACATCGCTTGAATGACCTCCCAGTACGCTGCGACACGCATCCCATTCTGTGTCTCTGTCTGACAGTATGTCTATTGCTTGTGGAACCCGATCAACAAACGTTTTGCGTACAATGCTCGCCTCTGGTGCAAAGACAAGCGCTAACAAGTAGACTTGCAGAGATGCCTCCGCTAGGACTGATAGAAACCGCAGCACAAATCGACTCGCATCGCGGAAGAAGCCTGCACATGTGTATGCAGATGGCTGCGGTGCAAATTAGTTTAGGGCAACCACTTATATCGTGTGAAACTCCTTACCGCCACCAGCGCCTGCAGCCTTGCCAGCGAGTGCACGCACTGGCCTGTCTCCCACACCAGACTCATCGCTTCGAGCCAGTGCAGAAGGTGCGTCTGCAGGAAGATGTACACGGCGTCCCCGTCTGCGATGCTCTGCTGGCTGCGCTCGAGATGCTCAACCCAGTAGCGGCACGCATCCTGCAGTTCTGGAGGAAGACTGTTACTAATCGTCCCTTCATCGATCTCTCTCCTCAAACTCCCAGACCTGAGAGATTGCATATGTCTTGCCAAAGGCTGTTAGGCACCGACATGAGCTCGAGGCAGCAAGACACTAGCTTTTTGTGTGTGCTGCTCTCATCTACCCAGAAGCTGTCGTCGCTGCATCTCTTTTTGTTGAGGAGAAAAATCACGTAAAGAAAGGTGATGCAAATGCACCAGCCGGCTCAAATATTGTGGAATGTCTAGGATAGAGTGCAGCTCATACAGCGTTCGATGCCCATCCTCTGCAGGAACGCGGAGTAGTCGGGCCAGTGAAGATGCAGAAAGCGGCGACTGCAAAAGCACGATCGCACCTAATGTCTCTCTTATTAGCCTGTACCGTTTCTTCCTTTCCTGCCTTCTGTATCTGCAAACAGGGCTCTTGAGTACGGTAAGGTATATGATGTTCAATCGCTCTTCTGGCAGGACCTCGAGTCTCTCGTCGGTGCAAGAATCATTGCTAGATGAACTGCCCGTTCCTGAGTTGTCTGCAGAGGAGCTGTCCTTGAGTACAGCGCGTAGTCGATCGGCAACAACTGTCCGCCTTCTTGGATGAAACGGCAGGCAGTTGCGGCCCAGATATACAGACCGCATGCACTCTGTACTAAGCGCCTGTTGAAGTCGTACTTTAAGCAAAGCTCGGAAGCACGGTTCGGTTGAGTCTCAGGGATGAGTAGAGCGTGAAGGAACGAGGGGGTTGATCACCTAAGCAAAGCTCGTGGTGGTCAGGGTCTAGTCAAAGACCGTGACGGCTGGTAGCAATGAGTAGTACAGAGTAGACTGTCTGGCTCGAGAGCCGATGAGATTCCAATAACAGAGTTGATTGACGAGGTTGAACACGATGCCATAAGGGCAGCGTGTCTACATACTACATACTTATAATGAGTGTCCGTAATTCCATAGTGTCTCACGGTCTCATGGGACGTTGTCTCAGAGTCTCATGGGACTCTTGGGATTCCGTGGGAATCTCATGGCTCGCTTTGGTTAGGGCTGTTATCTAGGATCCCTGTAGTAGACGCTACAAGTAGTGCGGAGTCTACAGAACAGTCTCCACCTCAGCAAGCTGCAACACAGAACATTACATTCGACAACAGTGAAAACAGCATTCAGGCCGGAAACATTCACGGCAACATACAATTTGGACGACTTTGAGGTTTTGACCTCTAGCTACTAGCGACTCAACGATGGAAATTGATGTCTGAGATACCCCTGTGCACAATCAGTCAAGGTTCATGTTGGAACGACAAGTCATATAAAGCCACAACAAGGCTGACGAGGCGAGCGGGTCGATCAGGCACATGCATGCTAAGCCCCAGCTGTGGATCTCATGATTGCCTGCTCGAAGTCGCCAGGCTGAGGCCCAACAAGCGCTGCGCCGCAGACATCATCACCGTAAACACCCCCGCTGGTACATGCTCTGATGCAGCGATGCCATGGCCTCAACGACATCCACGATAGGCTTCGGCGACGCCTACTCCAGCCTACAAGCCAACACCATCAACGGCTCTGTCGAGTTCCATCTCCAGCATGGTACGTTGCGGGACCACCCCACCCAAAGCCTGCGGGTTCTCAGTCGGACTCTCAGTAAGAACCAGACGCTAAGCAGACACCTCAACGCTAGGGCACGAGAACACCCTCAGCCAACTGCCGCACGCGAAAGACGCGCCCTTCAACTCGTTTGCGAAGCAGCATGAGCCTACCTGTCACCCCGACACGCGCGTCGATCTCCTTCGCGAGATATACAGCTGGGTGGATGGGCCAGATGAGCGGCGCATCTTCTGGCTAAGCGGTCTGGCGGGTACGGGCAAGTCGACGATTGCGCGGACGGTCGCGCGCAGGTATTTTGGCGAGCGACGTCTCGCAGCCAGCTTCTTCTTCTCGCGCGGCGGCGGCGACGTTGGGCACGCCGGCAAGTTCGTGACAAGCATCGCAGTGCAGCTTGCCCACAGCGTGCCAGCATCGCGACAGCACATCAGCGACGCTGTTGCAGAGCGCAGCGACATTGTCAGCCAGTCGCTGCGCGACCAGTGGCAGCACCTCGTCTACCACCCGCTGTCGAGGCTGCGCGAGTCAGAGCCAGAAACATACGTCGTAGTTGTCGATGCGCTCGACGAGTGCGACAGCGACAACAACATCCGCATCATCGTGCAGCTGCTGGCTGAGGTGCGGTCGTTGTCGACAGGCGTCCGGCTGCGGGTGTTCATGACGAGCAGACCAGAAGTGCCGATCCACTACGGCTTTAGCCAGGTACCCCATACGGAGCACCAGGACTTCGCGCTACATCGCATATCGCCATTGGTTATCAACAACGACATCCGCCTCTTTCTGGAGCATCAATTTCGGTCGATTACACAGAAATGTCGCCCTCGTACTGATTGGCCTGGCGCAACAGTCATTGCGCAGCTAGTGCAGAGTGCAAGCGGCCTGTTCATCTGGGCAGCAACTGCCTGTCGGTTCATTCAAGAAGGAGTAACAAGGAGAGTAATCCACGATCGACTGCAAACTATTCTCCAGAGTAGTGGGACCATGTCTGAACCGGAAGAGCACCTTAACAAAATCTACATCGCTGTCCTCACGTCTTCTGTCCCAACTACACTCACAAAGGAAGAAAAAGAAGAGTTTTGCCTTCGAGCGAGATATGTACTAGGAAGTTTAGTGGTTTTGCTCTCTCCTCTTTCTGCTCTGTCACTGGGTACACTGCTTCCTTTTGGAGACCTCGTTTCCGAGGACGACGTCGAAGACGTTCTACAAGGCCTACATGCTATCCTGGACATACCAGAGAGCCCAGCCGAACCACTACGCCTACACCACCCCTCGTTTCGTGACTTCCTCCTCAACAAAAATCGGTGCCGTGATGCCAACTTCTGGGTAGATGAGATCAGCACACACGAGAAGCTGGCGTCTCGCTGCCTTGAACTCATGTCCGCGCCCAACGGCCTTCGGCAAGACATGTGTAGCCTCTCTGATCCCGGCACTCTGAGAAGCGAGATAGAAGAGGAGATGGTGGTCAGCAGCCTGCCGCCTGAGCTGCAGTATGCGTGCCGCTACTGGGTAGAGCATCTCGAGCGCAGCCAGCAGAGCATCGCAGACGGGGACGCTGTGCACGTCTTCCTTCAGACGCATCTTCTGCACTGGCTCGAGGCAATGAGTCTAATGGGAGAGACAGGGCAGTGCGTGCGCCTGCTGGCAAGACTGCAGGCGAAGGCAACTGTAAGGAGTCTCGCACGAAAGATATGTTCACTGCATACTGACTTGCAACATAGTCATTCACAGGTGTCTGTGCAGGCTACCTCCGCGATGCGAACCGGTTTGTGTTGCGCTTTTGTTCAATCCTAGCGGAGGCACCTCTGCAGGTGTATTCGTCAGCAATCGTCTTTGCACCAGAGACGAGCGTTATCCGCAATACGTTTGCTGGTCAGGGTCCACAAGCAGTGGAATTGTTCTTGGGCAGAGAAGAAGACTGGGACGCGTGCCGCAGCGTGCTGGAGGGCCACACAAACACTGTCACTGCGGTGGTGTTCTCGCCAGACGGACAGCTGGTCGCCTCAGCATCC